TGTACAAAAAGACAGAGGTCTGATATTTCTCAGTAAAGACCGAGAAAGCGAGGTCTTTAAAAGGTTTAGCCGGAAGTGACGCTTAACATATAAAAAAACTTATTATTATATGGCAAGCGTCACTTCCCAAAAAATGGCGCGCTTTGATTGGCTCAGAAACGTTTTTGCCGTTTCATTATCATAATCGACCACGGTCCAAAACGCGTAATTTTACAGTAAAATGAAAACAAACTTAGTAAAGCAAACATCAAAACGCAAAAAAAGACAAAACAAAAAACCATTTACGAATCTGAGTCGAAGGAAAAACACTGGGAAAACAGTTTAACTATTCAGACGATATAATTTGAAACGATTTATTTTCGACTGACGAAAACTAGAAAAGTGAAAGTCAACCGTACAAAGCAGTAAAGACAAGATAGAAAGCAAGCTTCATTTCAGGTCAAATAATGCTATATAAAAACCTTTTAATAACCTCATTTTCTCGGTCGGGCTCGGTCTGTACAAATTTTGTACAAACAGATCTTGGTCCGATATTTTTCCGTAAAGACCCCGAGCTCGGTTATTAAGGGCTTATCAATTCAGTTTGGGTGTTATTATTTAGTAAGTTCAATGTATTTCTGGTTTCACAATTTAGAGCGAAGAGACAGTGCAGATTATATATTTTTTATTTATGATTGCTATAAGTTGCATCGACATAATTTACAAGAGTAGAACCTCTACACGGAGTCACTAAAACTCATCAAATTTAAAAACAGTATTACAAGTGATAGTAAAAAATCTGGAATCTAAATGTAAATAAATATTCCAAAGTCCTCAAATTTACAAAACAGATCAAACTTGTGGTCTGGCTAGGCCAGCGTAGTGTATAAACGAATGGTTTTACTAATGGAGTCCAGTCCGCGTTTTACTACTGTAATCCAGTCCGCTTTTTACTAATGGAGTCCACTCCGCTTTTTACTAATGTAGTCCAGTGCTCGTTTTACTAATGGAGTCCACTCCCCTTTTTACTAATGGAGTCCAGTCCACTTTTTACTAATGGAGTCTAGTCTGCGTTTTGTTGATGAGGCGTTCCTCGACATGATCGGATGGAGGTTAATCAAAAGGATGCAATTAGTTTTAATATACGCCGTTTTAGTTGTAGAGAAGCACATGGAATAATAATTAGTTACATAAAAAAGGAATACAGGAAGATTGAGATCAGACTGTAACACGTTTTACTACTGGAGTCCAGTCCGCTTTTTGCTAATAGAGTCCAGTCCACTTTTTACTAATGGAGTCCAGTACGCGTTTTACTATTGGAGTCCAGTCCGCTTTTTACTACTGGAGTCCAGTCCGCGTTTTATTACTGGAGTCCAGTGCGCTTTTTATTAATGGAGTCCAGTCCGCTTTTACTAATTGAGTCCAGTCCTCTTTTTACTAAAGGATTCCAGTCCGTGTTTTCGTAATGATGTCCTGTCCGCTTGTTACTAATAGAGTCCAGTCCGCGTTTTACTAATGGACTCCACTCCGCGTTTTACTACTGGAGTCCAGTCCGCTTTTGACTAATGGAGTCCAGTACGTGTTTTACTAATGGAGTTCAGTCCGCTTTTTACTAATGGAGTCCAGTCCCTTTTTACGAATGGAGTCCAGTCCGCATTTTACTAATGGAGTAATTTTGATCTGTATAAGGAAAAATGCAAGGAATTTAGAAACACATGGAATTAGCAAGGAAATGTCGTGGTATGCGTGTATTGAATTTTGAAGGTGTTTAAGGCTGAAACACACTAGGCAGTCGCTTTAGTCGCGCGTCTAAAACTACCGCTTTGCGTGGTTACTATAAGCTAGTAGCGTAGTCGCGTCAGCTCGTCGCTTTGAAAGTTCAACATGTTGAACTTTTGACATTGGTCGCTTCAGTCGCTTTACACTGATTGGCCAATAGATACATTTAACTTCCTAAATGCATATCATATTCCCTGTCATAAGCATCATACGAAATTTATAGATTATACCTTGGAAAACGAAGGCAATATATAGTGAGTTCACACTGGAATCTTTCAGTTTTTATGACTTATCAAATAGGGACAATAGGAGCTACAAACTGGAACCTTAATGCACAACCTAAATGCACAGAACAAGATTGTCCACGATATACGCGTAATGGGCTATGATCATATTGGCATGTTTTAACTGGCTTGTTCTCTTTTCTCCACATAGTAATTTGTACTGAGTAAATATTCATATATTAGTAGCTATAATAAAGGCCCAAATAAAAAGTCTATGTGATGTCTGTGTCTGCAACAAACAGAAATCTTCGGCATGTTCAATAGACGCCACGGTAAATGTCGCGATAGTCGCTGCATGTGTGTTTCTGGCATTCGACGCGTGCGCATCAATTCGCTTTGGACGCGCAACTGAAGCGACTGCCTAGTGTGTTTCAGCCTTTATATTTGGTAAAAAATTAAATGCAGAACTGCCATAAATCGACTTTTGTAAATTAATTTGAGAAGTTGTGGGAGCAGAAACAGTTTACAAATTAGAAAGTACAGAATCGCTCATTACACTCAGTTGACTGGTTTACAGGTACAAATATTAATTATGACCCTAATCATTTCATTAATATGGATGACTCCGATTCATCTTTGGAGGAAGGAGAAGGAAATAGTAACTTCTTCTTGCATTCAGAAAGTAAACGTAAACGTCCCAAACAAGTTCAAGTTTTTGTAGACTGCTGGTTGACAGACAAACAGTTCAAAGATTGGTTATGCAAAAGAATTTTTAAGAGATGACACTTCCCAGCCATTTTACAAGTTTTGTGATAAGTTTTTTCCTTGCTCCAAGACTGCCTTGAAGCGACACGCAGCAACATCATTACACCAGAGTTGGAGTAATTCTACTAGAAATACAAGTTCTATAACTAGCCTTTTTACAAAAGCTGCTAGTCAAGAAGAATCAAGTTCAATGGAGATAAAGTTATGCACATTTCTTGCTAAACATAACTTACCAATATCTCTGTCTGAAAAGATGTTAGATTTACTTGGATTACTTTTCCCGCTTGATAACACTCTTAAAAATGTTACCCTCGTGAAACAGAAAGTAACGAATGTGATACGACAAGTCATCCAATTTGATTATTTAAGGGAAGCTGTATCGACATTGCGCTCTCGACAGTTTAGCTTTATTATTGACGAAACAACAGATAAAAGCACAGCCAAACAGCTTGCAATTCTTGCCACCTATTTTGACATGGAAAGTTTTCAGCCGAAGCAGTTTTTGCTTGACTTAATTGAAGTTGAAGATGGAACTGCAAAAGGCATCTACTCTGCAGAAAAGCAATCATTTATTGATCTCCACATTCCAATGAACAATATAATTGTTTATTCTTCAGACACGACAAATGTTATGTTTGGACAATTTAATTCAGTTGCTCAACTATAAAAGGAAGAGTTCCGGGTGTCATTACTGTTAAGTGCTCGTTTCATTTGATTCATTTAGCATCTTCTCAAGCAGCTCTTAAATTGCCAAATAGTTTGGAAGATTTGTGTCGCGATGTTTTCTCACATTTTAGTCGCTCATCGAAAAGACAAGAAACCTATCTGGAGTTCTAACAGTTTTTTAGTGTCGTGCCCCTCAAATTGCTTTCACCATGTCAAATACGTTTGCTTTCTTTGGAAGCATGCGTAAATCGCATTTTGGAATAGTATGTGGCTTTAAACTACTATTTTCTACTTGTTGCAACTGAAGATCCCACACATGCTACCGATCACATTGTAAAATTACTGCCCAGCAAATACACCTTGGCTTATCATGAATTCTTAAGTTTCCAACTTCAACACTTCGATGCTCTCAATCTCCTTTTTCAAAGCGAAAAGCCCCTTTTGCAAAGATTTAAAGAAGAAGTTGAAGGACCTATCAAGTCTATTTCAACTGATTTTATGGATGTCCATTATGTCAAAGCCACAAACCCAAAAAATATTGATCCAAAAAATAGTGGTCTTTATGTACCGTTAATTGAAGTATACCTTGGGGTGGCAGACACGGCAACCATCAATGAAATCAAAAAAGACATCAGCCAAGATGATGTTGATTTGTATAACTTTATGGTCAACTCCAGGAACTTTCTCTGCGAAAGCATTGAACAGATAAAACGAAGATTCGATTTGGATGATGAAATTGATGACGTAGTACAGTGTATTTATCTAGAAAAGCAGCAGCGCGAAATCCATCCTCCCTAGCAATGGTTATCAAGAAATCACCATACATTGAAACTCTATTAAATGCTAAAAGCTTGACAGAGAATGGAGAGAGCATGTTCTTGAAGAAAAGCTCAATGATGACCTTACATGGGAGGAATATTAGCTGATTGTGAAAAATGCTAAGGTGTCTATCGGGGAACCGAAATATCCAAATCTGACAAGGTTTGTTGAAATAGTAGCTTCTTTCCCTTCTCCAATGCGGCTGTAGAGAGGGTATTCAGTTTATTAAAAAAATTTAAGATTGATGACCGGTCAAATCTTAAATTGTCATCAGTTACAGTGCAAGTTGGCAATGAAGAATGTCAGATTTAATGCAGTAAATATTACACCAACGAAGGACGCACCAGAACTGATTTCTAAAATGAAATCCAGTGTTTCTGATGAAGAAGCTAAATGTTTAAAAAAGAAATTCCTGGACTCACCTTTTAGCTAGTCAATTTTATTGTTAATTTTGTCATTTGTGACATAAATATTTCCAAGTCTAATGTGAACCTCTAGTTGACTAGTTCGGTAGTTCTTGAACGTAAAAACAAGTTTGACAGTTCATTTTTTATTGAATAATGTTGAAGGTGTTTTGTTACGTAGTTAAATATTTGTGGTGCTGCCGTGAAAGGACGTTTGCGGGAAAAGATAAAGATTTCTTTCAAGGATTTTTTGTGAAAATAAGAATTTCAGAGTTCAAAACAAGGATTTCATAAATTTGCTTGTGGAAACACTGATCATCCACCGTCACACATTCTCACATGACATGCAATCATGCATGATATTGTCATTTGAGACTTCAGACCTTGGGAGAATTTCTTGTAATTTTTAGACTAGTGCGTGATGAATTGGATTTAACGAGAGCACTTGATCAAACTGATGACTTCTTCAAATTTTGCGTAGGGGAAATATTTTTTCAAAGTTGGGCTAATCGAATACGTATGTACAAAACAGTGTGAAACCTTAAAATGAATCACGATTGTTTAAAAACGACAAATAAAACTGACACCACCAATAACGATCCATTTGATGAATTATATCCAGCATTGATCAGTGTGTTTGCCGTAATTTTTTTGGGCTACTTAACTGGACGTTTGGGCTTGATATCTCCTAACGAAGCTCAGGGAATCAGTAAATTTGCTATTTATCCTACTTTACCTGCTTTCGTATTTCGAGCAATTGCTACAATTAATTTCAAGACTGTTGAATGGATGTTCCTTCTAGCAGTTACCTTGTCGAAGTTAATCGTTTTTGTTGTAGTGACTATGTTGACTTTGTTATTTACAAGAGATGTTGGCAGAGCCGGCGTTTATAGTTTGTTTTGTACAATGTCGAATGATCTAGCATTAGGAATACCTATATGTAAGTATGATAATACGTAATGAAAAATTGCTCAATGTTCAGTGTGGTTGAACACATAAAACACATACTACGTTTTGTCATTAGCAATAATTCTTAATGTCGTTAACAATTATTCAGTACAATAATTATTGTTGTGATTCTATCGTAATGACTTTCAAATGCATTGTGGAGTTGGTAATGTGCTGTTCGTCATGTTGCGTAATTACACTGTGCACATGTAATTAAGAGTCAATTAGCAGGGGAAGGGCTGCAGTTGCCTCAATCAGGATTATGTGGTTTACTGTGTAATATATTGTTTGATAAATCATGAATTTTAATACATGGACACAAAATTTTGAAGAGCATGAGTTAATCAGAATTTCTTATCTTTATGCTTGTAATTCTATATAGTGATTTAAAAAAGACACATTCACCATTAATTAACCCAACAACTAACGAATTAACTTAAATGTGGCCTATTGTTGTTTTTGAACAAGTTAGTAAAATCTTTGCTCAAAGAAGCATTGAACTACCAGCTGACAATTTGATGTAGTATAAAATGAAGCAGACTACCTATAAAATACCCATCTTTAACTTAATTTTTTATGTAATAGTTTATAACTGATGTTTCAATAGAATTTTTATTTCTTGTGAGTTTTGTTAGATTCTTGAATATCCTAGTCGAGATGAGAGTTCCAATATTCTTGATTCATGTGAACACAATCTTTCATCGGTGTTGTATTTATAAACATTTAGTAGTGCCTTACTAGGCTAAAAATATTGTGTTGAGATAATGAGTAATTTTCTTAATGTTATCTTAAAACATGTTCAGTTATAGTTTTTGGCTATCTTCCTCAGAGTTATAAATGCAAATGCGACCCACAAAAATGAAATTTTTCTAAGTTGTCCTGACAAGTTGCATTTTCTATAAACTTTGATATTGCAAAGTAATGAAACAAGCATGAACCACTACATCCATTAACATACAGATATATTAATAATCATACCATATTATAGTTAGATAGAACTTTATTTAGACACACTAACACTGAAAATCAAAGCTGATTTCTATGGGGAGAGGGCAAATGAAAAGTATATGGAAAAAATATTTATAAAATTGCGAGAGAGAAATATTATCAAATTGACTGACTGTACATGAAGTATTGAAAAGGTATTCCATAGAGTGAAGTGAAGTAGTTCACTCAGTGGTTGGTTTTCTCTTTTTATCTAGTGAAGCCATTATATGAAAAGAATCATAAGAATTTTTTGGATTGTGCTTACGTTCTTTCATTGGTCAACGTGGTTCTTCTTCTAATGATAGCACTTATTATGATGGAGTTTAACCATCAACGTTCTCGAAACAAATCAGCAAATCTGAAAGGTATTGTACTGAAAACTGTACAATCAATCGTTACAACTCCAGTTGTTCTGGCATCTGTGATTGGCATCATCGTAAATTTCATATCTAAACAAAAATTGCCAACATATTTGGACAAACCACTCATGACCTTGAGCAATGCATTTGGTGGAGCAGCATTGTTTTTTCTTGGTTTAAGCGTCGTGGGAAAGATCAGGACCAAAATAGGAATGATTACTCTCGTTCCCTTGTCGCTTGGTATTGCTAAGGTGTAAGTATATGATGTTAATTTTGCAGCAAAACTAAGCAATGCCATTCGTGCTTTATTATATCTAAAGTAGAATTGTAAAGTAGGAGGAATATTGCCAGTGTTTTATTGAAACGGATTAATTCTGGTCAACTTAAAGTGTAATGTAAACAACAGACAGTTTCTTGGACTATTGAAACGTAAAATTGGTTCGAACAGGTTTACCGAACGGAAAGAATACAGATTGCTATGGGAATTGGGAAATTAATTCTTCACTGTGCGAATGACTGGAAGGCTGTGTAGATTTTTTGCTGTAAAACCTTTTTACATTTTTTGAAGTGTTGAACACACGAGCAGTTTGGTCTGACAAATTTCCTTATATAGTAGCCTGCAGTCAAAACACATTTCGTGTATTTTTACGGTGTATGCAGGAAATTAACTATTGCGCTCCGTGCTTCATTCAAGTTACCTATTGACGACAAGTGGTGTGTTTATAAAAGTTTATCCCTCCAGCTTAGATATACCTATTGTGTACAAACAACCATAAATAAACGCATTTTTATCTTCAACATTTCGCTATAGCTTGTGGCAAATACAAGTTTTACAGATTTGGCTAATTTCTATTCGTTTTCTCTATACACCACTAATTTATTAGGCAGTTGAAAATAAGTTGTTGATAGTTGTCCATTATCTATCGTTATCTGTACCTTAAAGTGCCTGACCTAATGTAATTAAACATAATCCTGTTTCCTCCCAAATTCTCTTTTTTTCCAAACTCCTGCTCGTGTTTCTTTCTACTGAAGCACAGAAAATGTTTTCTATTTGCTCAATTTTATTGCCTTTTAACAGCAATTGAAAAAGATAAAGATTTATCGATTTTAATTACATTAAATAGTATATTTTTCACTTAAATTTTCTTCACAACCACGCAACTTGCGGGGAAAGTCCTTGTGTCTATAAAGTTAAGGAACACTTTTTTTGAGCCATTAACTAATCAACGTCCATCTTTTGAAAAGCTTATTTTATAAATTGTGGTTATCAAGATCAAGGATTGAATCAACAATGATTGTGTTAGGGGGTGGTTACCTTGTTACTGTCTTTGCGCCTTGTTTTATTGAATTTTGTGTGCTTCATAAAACACAAATCACCATTGCTTTTGCTTGGTTGCTCGATATAAGTAAATAAACCCCTGATCAGAATCGAATTTCTCCTCACCTATAGTAGCTATACAGTTAAGTTGTTATGTTTTAGTATCGTCCTACCGCTGATAATACGCGGCCTATGTATTTCATTCAACATTGGCGGCCAAAATTTGAGGGAAGATTGGAGTATATTTGGCTTCTTGTATGGTACCATACCGCCATCTCCTCCCACGGTTATTTATGCTGCTTACTTTGGTATTGAAGAGGATACGGTATGAACGGTTTCTTTCTTTCGTTTTTCTTTAAAGGATGCAACAATCACTTACATTTGCTTGTTATGATCCTTTGATGAAATGTTGGATGCTTGCATGACAGAAATGTGTCCATCATTGAAATGTATGATGAGTGCATGACAGAAATCCGTCCACCAATGAAATGTAAATACAAAAAAAACTTTCCCCCGATAATTTAGTAGATAATTTCACTAGATTATAAAGTAGAGCAAAAACAAGTTCCAAATAAACAGGGCATCTTAAGATAACAAAATATCTGTCTGTACTAGACGTAAACTGCTTTTTTGCTTTAATGAAGCGTATAATGCGTGCATGACAGAAGGTCGTTATTCAATTTTATGATAAACTAGTGGAACATTCACCATTTCATACATACTGTAATCAATAGGTCATTCCTACCTATTTACCTCATTCAATATTTTATATGTTTCTAGATGGCGTTTGGAATGATTATGTCAACAATGTTTTCTGCTCCCGTCATGTTGATTTCATCTAAAATGGCAACTGTCAATAACATGAATCAAACAAATGTTGTTTACAGAGATCTTTTGAATAAAACTAGGACTGACATTAGCATCGTCTCCATTATTTTGGCTGTAAGTATTTTGCTTTATATGAATAACGCTTCCTGTATTCTTTTCACTTTCGATGTGGAAATTTTGATATGTTGAATTTCAAGCTAGAAAGCTTTCAAAATGTAAATTGTGGATTTCGCTTTGTTTTACGGGCAACTTTTGCAGAAGACGTGAGGTCTGATTGAAGAATTATCTTAGCAAATGCCAATTTTTCAAAATTAAACCATCCATTTTATCTTAATGAATAACCTGAAAGAGGTAGATTTATACGATGGCTATTTAATTTGAGGTTTTACGTTAAAACCGCTCCTTAAAACCTACGTCCGGAAGTTGCTTTGTACAGTACCACTCAGAAGTAAGTATACCGAAAACGCGTTTCAGTTGCGTTCCAATTGCGTTCGGCTTAACGTTGAACGCTTATCAAAACGCGTTGTTGATCACATCCAATCGTTGATCGGTAATCATCATTGATTCTTCTTATACAAGTGTTCAATTTCGAAAATTTCGGATGTTATACCGAGATTATTTAAACAATCGGGAACGCGTTCAGAATGTGTCCTCTAATTTTTTTGGCGCGTTCCGGCCGCATTCGAAACGCAAATGGAACTTGAACGCAGTGTTAATCATTGTAGATTAAAGATGTATAGCGTGTTCTCTGTTTGGTCAACATGACGCATTTGGATCTTATGTCCTTTTGTTCATGGTCCCTGATCACATATTTATGTGTCCGTGACAGTGGTCCGTAATGGCTAGATTTTTCATGTCCGGGGTGATAAATCATCGTTTTTTCACGTGTTGTATCTTAATAGTCTTTTGAAATTGTTTTTATGATTAAGTTTTGTGTTTTATAGTGCTGGGTTATCGCAATACTCTTCCTCAGTCGTCGATTCCAATCAATTCCACACAGGTTCACAGTGTGTCTTGCTCTTAGTCAGGTAAAAATCACAATGTTTTTTTAGCAGTTCTATTTTTTATAAAGCCTCTAATTATAACAATCAGAGCAAACTCAAATTTATATTGACAGATAGATAGATTTCAAAGGTCATTTTTTTGTTGTGACGTGCGTAATTGATTTAAAACTGCCTTCGTCCTTGTGAAGAGGAAAAAATGAGCCTGGCTCAGTGGTATTGTGTAAGTTGTGTAGTGTTTGTTTTTTTTTTGCTTAATTTAATGAATGACGATAGTAAATTTAGATCATTATGTTTGTAAAATTTAGTCATTTCCTCTGTTTTAATTAGACAGCAATGCCATCAAGTTAGGTACTGTTTAGAAAGATGGTGTTTTATCATGTTCTGCATGACCAATTAGATAAATATACGTTTAAGCTATTTCTTCCCAAGTCTTTTTTGCATCAAAACAAATTTTTAAGTTCTCAGAAAAGATATAAATGATACTCTGTTAACTAGTTTTTTAGCATATGCTTTTTGGTGACACCATCCACTGCCCTTGGTCACCTTTGGCAGTTGTCAATGTTCTACGTCAAATGAGAAAAAGTTAAACAAAATAGAAACACAACGTTGAGAGTGGTTCTACTTAAAAAACCCACTAAACTTTCAATGTCTCCCTCTTCTATGTATTTTAACTGCCTTTGTATGTAATTTTACGGTAAATGTGATGTTTTTTGAATTTTGTAGAACTATTTTCTGTGCTGCTGTTTTCTTATGATGTCTACCAGTGTCGCCTTTCTTGTCAGTTTATAAAAAATGATGAAAAACTAAAGTAAATCATTCCTAGTAAATCATGTGTTGAAAAATGATAAAAACTGAAGATAAAAACTTGTGGTACCGTACTTGTGCGCCGCTCCCGGTTAAGCGCCGTATCTGAGTAATATTAGTATGGCGCTTAATAGGACTAAATTTCGAGTTACTATAAACTGCAGAATTTACGACAATTCTGTTCTGTACCTATATGACATTATTTTCGTTAAGTTGAATCATGTTTTATTATGTAAATAGATTTCGTCTGCTATTTATTAAAAATCTCCCTGAGAACCTTTGTTAAAAATTTTCAAGCACCGCTCCCACTTAACCGCCGCTCCCTTATAAACGTCCCATCCTTATAAACGCCGCTCCCTCATTAGCGCAGCTCCATTAAAGTTCACTACAATGTTGATCACTAGATTATAATGTCACTACAATGTTGATTGCTAGATTATAAAGTTCACTACAATGTTGATCACTAGATTATAATGTTCACTAGAATGTTGATCACTAGATTGTAATGTTCACTACAATGTTGATCACTAGATTATAATGTTCACTACAATGTTGATCACTAGATTGTAATGTTCACTACAATGTTGATCACTAGATTGTAATGTTCACTACAATTTTGATCACCTGATTGTAATGTTCACTACAATGTTGATGGCTAGATTATAAAGTTCATTAGAATGTTGATCACTAGATTATAATGTTCACTACAGTTTTGATAACTAGTTTGCAATCTTCACTACAATGTTGATCACTAGATTATAAAGTTCACTGCAATGTTGATAACTAAAATATAATTTTCACAACAATGTTGATCACTAGATTTATAAAGTTCACTACAATGTTGATCACTAGATTATAATGTTCACTACAGTTTTGATCACTAGATTATAAAGTTCACTCTAATGATGATCACTAAATTGTAATGTTCACTACAATGTTGATCACTAGATTATAATGTTCACTCTAATGATGATCACTAAATTGCAATGTTCACTACAATGTTGATCACTAGATTATAATGTTCACTACAATGTTGATCACTAGATTGTAATATTCACTACAATGTTGATCACTAGATTGTAATGTTCACTACAATGTTGATCACTAGATTATAATGCTCACTACAATGTTGATCTCTAGATTATAATGTTCACTAAAATGTTGATCACTAGATTATAAAGTTCACTACAATGTTGATCACTAGATTATAATGTTCACTACAGTTTTGATCACTAGATTACAATCTTCACTACATTGTTGATCACTAGATTATAAAGTTCACTACAATGTTGATCACTAGATTATAATGTTCACTACAGTTTTGATCACTAGATTACAATCTTCACTACATTGTTGATCACTAGATTATAAAGTTCACTACAATGTTGATCACTAGATTATAAAGTTCACTACAATGTTGATCACTAGATTATAATGTTCACTACAATTCTGATCACCTGATTGTAATGTTCACTACAATGTTGATCGCTAGATTATAAAGTTCACTACAATGTTGATCACTAAATTGTAATGTTCACTAGAATGTTGATCACTAGATTATAATGTTCATTAGAACGTTGATCACTAGATTATAATGTTCACTAGAATGTTGATCACTAGAATATAAAGTTCACTAGAATGTTGATCACTAGATTATAATGTTCACTAGAATGTTGATCACTAGATTATAAAGTTCACTACAATGTTGATCACTAGATTATAATGTTCTAGAAATTTGGTTTAGTTTAACTCTTTAAAAATATTACGCGACGCTGCATTTTTAAAATGCTTTATCTACTTTTACCATTAAGTATTTAACAAATAGATAACATTTAACCGTTGTCTATACAGTTATAGAAACACGGGTATGACGTCAATTGTGATAAAAACTAAAAAAGTGGCCACGAGCCAATACTTGGAACATTGGAAAGTCTTGATTTTACAAATATCACGCTTACGTGATCTATAGGATTAAAGAATTACTATCGGCTAGTTAAATCACGTGATAAAATGTGATTGGCTAACAATATAAACAAGCAAAGGCTGATCAATGTAATTGAAATTTTGTTATCGAAGACGGACTACAAATCAATACTTGTAAACCGGTTTTTTTTTCTTTTTGCTTAAATACGTCCACTCCTTCAACTAGGCATGCTTTATTTCTTTATATGCTCATTCAGGGATAAATTCAGGTAAATATTCAAGCAAATTCGCCGCTCGTCTGTCATTAAAAAACAAGAAATTTTCTGTGACGTCAATTCTGTCCTTTTATATATCATAGCTCTCGACCAAAGAAATTACTCAAATTCTTTTGGTTATTATATATGAACTGCTATACTACATAATAAACCAATCACCAACCATATTTTAATTAAAAGGTATCTAGAAAGTTTGAAAGCACTCAATTCTTCAATTTTCTTCTTTTTTAGTTACTGCTTTGTATATCTTTTGTTCTCATCAAGTCTAATCCATTCATTGAATGCTGCGGAGGATTTGAAGCTTTTTTAATAACAACGTTTATTTTTGCAACACATTGCTGGACGGCAATCATCGCGTTCATTTTATCCAGCGCTCGTTGTTCCGTAGAGTCGCAGTGGAACACAAAGACACGACGAATATGCATTACTGGATGGGCGTGAGTGCATTTATTACTTATTTAATTTTTTTGAAAATGAAATGCATATGTTTTAGAAATTTTGGTTGCGTGTAGAAATCATCAGTCAGGTGGAAAATACAATTGTTTCATCAATTTCTCTGCTTCAGTATAACTGATTATTCCTGTCTTCATTGCCCTCAAGGAGATGTGCTATGGCTTTGATCTTTTTATATACATAACACGAAAGGACCAAAAAACGACATTCCGCCTTATTAACTACCATCGGTTCCTACATACTTCTATTTTTTCATAAATTTTGAGAAAAATCTTGCATAGGTGCGATGTCATTAGATCCCTGAGATAGTTCCGAATCTTGTCATTATGAACTGCACGATTTAATTTTTTCTTATCAGAACCAATAATTACATTCTAATGTCAAGTACTTCTTTTATTAAAAACTTGTGATTTCATGTGTTTTCGTGTGTTATGGAAGTGTAGCGTCCTATGGGCAATTTAATCTCTCATTTCCCGAACAATTGTGTCATTACTTCGTTTACCATGATTGTCGAGGAAGACCTTGAAACAGAGAAACTTGCCTGGGTTTTAAAACTATAGAAAACGAGGCAATCCTGATATGATCAATAGCGAAACATCAACTGCTAACTGTACCTGAAATAGTTGTTGCTGTATTTTTAAATGTACACGACTCGTAACATGTTTGAATCTTGTGCGAATGCTAAAATTATCTTTCATTCAATGGCAGTGTGCATGGTTATTAACTTTTTTTTGTTTGCTTTCAGTTTGCCGGCTGTTTGTTGCGGGATACTTGTGCTGATTTTAAAACCGAAAATTGACGAATTCCCTGATAAAAAAAAAGATTTCTTTGCTTTTATCAATGAGAAGGTGAGTTGATGATTTTTTGGCTTGTTGAACTACACATTATCTTCGCGGTTTTGAAGATTTGTGCTTATTTAACCTTGAAATTTTTGTTTAAACCATAGGAAGCCCATAACTACGTTTTTTTTCTTAATAAATATGAAATAATGAAATAGCTAATATTTCTTTCTCACTCCTGAGTAACATGATAACTTCAACAGTTTGTCTTTCATTGATCGATGAATACTTTGATATGCGAGAAAAACTGTAGTTTTTATAACGTCAATTGAACTCACAAGACAATGATGAAACATTCAATAATGCGATGTGCAATATTAATCACACAAAAGCGATTTTAACAAGTTGCAACGATATATCGATCAATAGTAGTACACCGTTGTATCATTGACTTCGAAAAGACACAATAGAATGACATATGTAGACAATGTTCTTGCCGATAAGCGCTCAAACGAAGAGTGTGCATTGTTCAAGAAGCCTTAAAAAGATGAGAAGCTTCAGGACCTAATGAACAAGCATGCACGCAGTTCAACACTTGGACATGGCGCAAAGATGAAGGCAACAAATTATTTAAAAACCCTGCGAGCTTTTTAGTCAGAGCATTTGAGGATCCCGAGCAAGATGATTTCACTATTGCAGATGCGCTGAGGATCCACTGGTCAACCTCAAGAGGCATTGTAAGGCGGTATTTAGAGGACGGCCGTGTACAGGAACTATTTTGTGGTGTGTGTGCTAGACGATGCCCAGCCGAAAGAAATCGACCTGATGTCATTAGAGCTCGTTATGAGTTTGCGAAGTGGTTCCTGGAAGGAGGCCATAGAAGATCGTGTTGTCTTTGTCGAAGAGTGTGGATTTCATTTTTGAACTGCAAGAAATCTTAGGTGGTCAATAGGGGATCATACTGCACAATCGTCGTCTGATCATATACGCCTACGGATGCTTCCACCTTATTCTCCTTTCCTTAATACTGTAGAAGAGTATCTCAACCACATATTCAGCAAGGGATACACAATAGACTGAGAGCACGCGACGAAAACATACACTAGGGGAATACAGGAAGTGTATTCTCATGCACGCTACTGAACGAAACATGGGGACCATGACTATTGCCAAATGTGCTGCATGGTTTCGTCACATGTAGACGTACCTTCAAGGCTGCATGAACCGGGAACCCATTTAGGCAGATAAAACAACTTATTGAATTGTATTTCGTTTAGTCATTAACGATCACACGGTTTTCTGCTGTTGATATACTTTTGCGACTTGTTGAGTACGATTTTGTCTGATTAATATTGTACGTCACGTTATTAAATGTCTGATCACTGCCGTGTGAGTTTAATTGAATTTATTAAAATTACAGTTTTTCCCGTGTATTAATATTATTGACGTTTCAATGGTGGTAACGATTTTCCGCATTTTTGCTAATAAATATTTATTTGCGTTAATGTTATGGTGTAATTAATAAAACTGATAAGACTACACGTCACACTAACATCGCACGAGGTTGATCGATCAATGAAAGACAAATTGTTGAAGTAATCAAGTTCCTCAGGAGTAAGAAAGATTGATTATTTCAGATTTATTACGAAAAACCCTTAGTCATGGGCTGCCTATGATTTTATTGAGATTCTTTTTGGAATTCTATTTTAAAAAGTAAATCTCGGGATTTTTTTGAGATTTGAAGAATTGAAGTTTCAGAAATAGATTAGCTTTTTAGGGGAGAAATTTTTCAATAATAAATGATTTTGCTGCACGTTATGTTATGAAGTTAAAACACACTACTAAAACCATTTCGCTAGAGTTAGGAAGTGGCTTATAATTAGGAATAGTAACGAAATTTTGATTTATAAAGTCACAATCTATGGGTGCAGTGGCATTAAGAAAAACCTGTAGTAATGGGCTGCCTATGTTAAAACGAAGTATACCGGCCTTTCCCGAAATTGCTTTAGGAACTTAAAATAACAGCATGAAGTTGAGGCGGACAATGACACTATTGTTAAATCAGTATTATCAGCAAACAAATTTGCAAATTGCATGTTGATGAAAGAATTTTTGTTTTCTTTAATAAACTAATTTTTAAATATTTGACTAACAAATTTTAATAAATTTTATAGCAAATTTTAATAAATTTAGTAACGAATGAAAGCGATATAAAATTTCTTTTTCGACGTTTTGATGCAATTACATTACAGTGCTTACAAACAATGAAAATTTATTACAAATCACTTTTTATAGCTTGTCCTTGGAGGTAAGTTATCATCTGATACTGAACGTTTTATTAAACTAATTTATAATGGCACGTTTATTTAGGCGTGATTACCAAAACTCAATCTAAGCATTATTCATCCAATTTCTATTCTTTTTTTACCATTAGCTATGAAGCCAATCACGCTTGTGCATGATCATGATTAGCTTGAACTGCCTGCATTGAAGGTTAAATTGGCCGAAATTATTTTAGCAACTACGCTCTATTTCTGAGAGGCCTATTTTACAAGTTGCTATTATTTATTTTTGGTTATTAAGTCTCGAGTGTTTGGTAGAGATGATATACCGTTTCGGTGAAAAAAAATTTACATGTTTCTTGCGCTTAGGTGAGGAAATTGAACTACTTTAATAATATTAGATTGGGCGAAAACGTCTTTATCCATTGTAAATTAAAAAGATAGTGGGCAAAATGTTTAAAGAACTACTTAGGTTAAGCTTATTGTTGTAATTTGAAGACACTAATTAATATTTTCCTATTTTCCTTGCTTTTCTGTTATCAGAAAGTGTATGTTGCATTTTGGCTGACTCTTCAAGTTATTTGTATTTTCGTTTGTGTTGGATCACTACTACGAATGTACAGATTTGACAAATATTGTAAGTGTGAAATGGTTACAGAGGAAGACAATGCTGGCGATCAAACACCGTTACTTTCTTCGTCTAGGTACGTTTTTTTATTTTTACCTTTACTGCAATTCTCGCTTATTAAAGAGTAAGTTTCTCTCTTGCTATTGTTGCACTTCAAGTTTTTTCATTTCGCAAGTAAGCCTGGCTACGACAGGTCGCGGTAACTACCACGTTTAACGATCATTTTCATCTCCAATAATAGTATCTTGTACAGGGATAAACCACTTTGATTTTGTTGGTGGTGAGGGGAGATGTCCAGTGTTTGTTATATTTTGGTGGCTACTTGTTGCCATAGCATGTCAAATTTTTTTTGTTAAAATTAATTCTGTTACCTTTTTATTATGATTGGGAGATTTTTTTGTTTTGGAAATGTGCTTCATTAATCACTAACCAAAATTTGCTTTGCCTAATTATTTTGTAAATAATAGCTATTTGTAGAAAAATCGGACCCCTCCTGCGTTCCTTTTTATCGAAGACCACGAGGGTTGCGCATCCCTCTACAATCCTTCTCTAAATCTATTCCCGATCGCTATTTAATACACGATATAAGATAGTTTTCCAATATGATATTATTAAGAGCTTATTAAAAACTTATTGTTTGTCACTTCTAACGTCTTGTTTGTACCTTGTATATGTTGTATAGGAAAAAGTGCCATCGATGCGTAAGAGACAAACAACGTGGAACTACTGACGATTGCACATCTGTAAGTGAAGATATGCAAGATACGGATGAAGGGTTTTCCGTTGTGCATACCAGAAACCGCTTATCGTCACAAGACTTTCTTGAAGGCAAACATATAAAATTGGACAAATATTACGAAGGAGAGCAGCATCAAAGTGGCAATCATGTTGTTGTTATTGTCAGTCAAGTACTTGTTATGTGTTTGGTGAGTTATATACACTTAATTGTGTTTCTGACCGACTTTAGTGTGTAATAATTGAAAAGCTTCCTATTCATGTACGTATGTAGGGTTTATAAAAGTGAAGGGGAGTTACTATGGGCGCGCCTCAATTTTAAAATAATGAAAACGTAAGTGTGTACAAAAAATAAAACGCTCTTATTCTTACAAATACAAACCTTGAGCACACTTTAATTATTTAGAGTCATTTTACGTGTACAGTATTTGCTAAATAATACACTGTTTTCGGTGTATATCTTAGCACACATCCTCTCTGTAAACTTTAGGGTTGGGCGATACTTTTATGATATTTTTATGACGCGATTATCGTATCAAAGGTTCAAACTTAAAAAACGACATGTTAATGCATGTTCTAGTTTTTCTTGTAAAAACATGGAGTAAAGTCGACTATTAGTTGTAGAGTATGTCAATACTCAATACTGGGATACTTCAGATCAACCACAAGCGGTAGTAGTTATATTTAGTAACTTTAACTTTATCTCATAATATTTTATTTAAAACGAAAACGTCTCGTTTAAAAAAAAGGATAATAATGTTGATTAGAATTGGAAAATAATGTGGTGCTGTTTTGTTGTATTTGTGATAGTTTCCTTAAAAATAATGGTCTGTTAATTTTTTTATTTTCACCCAACTCCTGTCATCTTAGGTACATCTGATTTTTTGCGCACAATTCTAGTTTCCTGATTTTCTTATTTGTTGATAACTATTTGCTCACTGCTCATACGTACGTAGAGTCGTGCAAATATACATTTACAGAGTGTATCAAAAAAAACTGAACAGTCAGGAAAATCTCGCTTAAGTAATTAGCGCGCAAGATCTACAAAAACCTTTAGTGAAATGGGTAGTTACACTTCCAATGGTTCATTTGACAGTAAATTTTTCTTTTATATTAATAATAATATTTGGAGTGAGAATTGTGTTACCGGGGAGCACTTTTGAAATAGCTGGCGCTCGTAAATGACACCAATGCAAAGCAATTGGAACACGTAGGGTTAAAATATGGCAGATATTGTTCAAGCTTACAAAGTTTTGGTAAATTTGGCGTAACCGTATACGAACATATCAATCACAGATTATTTTGCATTTTCCGTTTTTATCGCCATTTTTTTAAACCTTCATCAATTATTCATATTACTTTAACTTAAGCTTACATATACGCATAATTGATGAGGATTATAACTAAATGACATTAAAAAACAAAAAATCCAAAATAATCCGCGATTTGAAAGCAAATCTATGTGTTTGTATTGTTTTTTCGCCGTGTCATTTTCGTGCGCAAGCTATTTCAATGGTATTCTCGGTAAAACAATTTTTAACATAATAATGTTTATTATTTGCAACAATTTTACTGTCAGGTGAACCATTGGAAGTCCAAGACTTTCACCAAAGACTTTTGCAAATCTCGTGCGCTAATGACTTAAGCAAAGTTTTCCAAACTGTTCATTTTTTATACACATACTGTATATATTCAGATGTTGCAACAGTTCAGTTAAATATTCGCCAATTAGCAGCTCTATAGTTGCAAGTGCGTGCACATTAATAAATTGCTATGCAATAATGCAAAGAAATCACAGGTGAAATGCTGAGGACAATTACAAAAAATGTATGTCATGCAATTTAATATTTTACGTAACGTGCAGCAGACTATTCAGTGGTAGATCAATTTTCCAAGCAGTTAACATGTGATTAAAAATACAAAAAAGAAATTTTTCATTTATTTAACAGTTTAGTTTTTTGTTAAGAAGCCTTTTGTAACTATTCAAACCTGGTATTAAAAACTAGTATTATAAACTGAAGTACTGTAGTATTATAAACTGAAGTACTGGTATTATAAACTGGTATTATAAACTGGTATTATAAACTATATATAAAACTAGTATTATAAACTGAAGTACTGAAGTACTGTATATTTGAAATTGAATAGTCATTGAAGCTGTCTTTGACAATGACACGTAGAGTCTAAAACATTGTCTGATGTTTACTTAAACAAGCAGTAAGAATGTTTTATGTAGTGCGGTGTTTGAAATTAAATGAAGATATGATCTTCGCACTTTGCTGGACAATTTAAGCAATCGTCTCAGGAACCTGAAAAAATCAGGTGACTCAACGGGATTCGAACCCATGACCTCTGCGGTGCCGGTGCAGTGCTCTGACCAACTGAGCTATGAAGTCACACAGTGGGGAGCAGGTCAATATTGTTGGGCTCATGTTTTCTCGTGAAAGGAATGTCATATGAATGTTTTATGCAGTGCGGTGTTTGAAATTAAATGAAGATATGATCTTCGCACTTTGCTGGACAATTTAAGAACCTGAAAAATCAGGTGACTCTTCGAAAGTGCAGTGTGACCAACTGAGCTATGAAGTCACACAGTGGCGGCTCATGTTTTCTCGTGAAAGGAATGTCGAATGTTTTATGCAGTGCATCTTACGACATTTCTTCAAACATGAGACTTGACCTGCTGAACCACGTCAGGTCCTGCAGTGCACCGGCCCGCGGACTACCTGATTTCAGGTGAGTGTTCAAACATATCTTCATTTAAACAAGCAGTGTTAAATATCACTCTTTAATACTTTGAATGAAAATTAAGATCATGCATGTACATTTTAATGTGAACTATACTGGTTGCTCATTAAATATTGCTTATATTCTACTTAATAAGTTGACCTTTTTTCCTACCCACAACTTGGTTATCTACGACACACGATTACGAAAAAAAAAGGGATCCCTTTGACTTATTGCTCCACGTTGTTTGAAAATTAGCAAGCGGAAGTTTTTTATTCAATGCTTATAATGAGTTTGTTTTTTTGTGGTTCATATCGATGTTTTATAAAAAATTGCCCATTCATTTTAAATGGCCAAACGGATAATTTTTCCCAATTTTTGCCGGACTGACTTTGTAGACATATTTCACAATTTTTAAGGAGGAGGGTCACACCGCAATGAACATTTAATATGATATAAGATCAGTATCATAATTTATTTCTTTATCTATTGTTCTCACAGTGAGAGCGAGCACATAGAGTTTACGTAATATGTAGGACTAAATGCTGCAAAGTAGGACTATGTTATCACACATATTTTTTATCTCTTCCAGTGCATATTCTACTGTTTGTGGGTGCTCGTAGGCGATGATTTGACTTCTGGCATATTTTTGGAGGTTGAACTCTTAATATCAATTATTCTCTCTGCTCAGGTATGCCATAGCTAGTTATGCTTTAACTCATCGTATTTTGCGAAAAAATTTGTTCCTTTACCATGAAACATCGGCAAGCGAGCAAGTTATTAAGTTTATTATAAGAAATTTAACCACTACCAACAGCTCTCTAATGCAAACATAATGTGAAATGTTTGTCAATCATAATCTAATATGAGGAATTTGAATTCAAAGAAAAAAAATTGCTATCATTTTTACTTGAAGAATTCCATAGTACTTTTAAGTTTTTCGAGATGGAAATTCATTTTTCTACGAGCGGTAAATTTGTTACACAGGAACTCAGAGAAGCATTTTCAGGAGCCGGAGTGTTATTGATTTGTTGTGCTTTTTTGTCTCAACTTTTTATGATCATTTTTATTTGGCTATTTCTAAAACCGGGAACGGAATGGGGAATGGGAAAAACCAGGAATACTAAAAGCTGGAATCTCTAAAAATCTCTACTGTCAACAAAGCGTCCATAAGAAGATTAGCTCATCAAAATTATTGCATTATAACTGATATAAATTGAACAGCTTTTGTACGAGTTGGTCGAAGAACGAAAAGAGTGCAAACATCGATTTTGACCATATTTTTATTCGGCATTATGAGGAGTATAACAATTTTAAATCAAGAACATACCCTCTGAAAGCGTATTTTCAGTTGTCGATTAGAATTTCAATAGAAGCACTAATGGCGCAAGTGTACCGATGAAGCTTGTGAAAACACGTTGTACGATTTTAAAACTAAAAACACAGATTGTCATACTATAAAATGTGGTCATTATCGAAATTTGCACTCTTCGTTCTCCGACCAACTCCTACAAAACCTGTTCAATTTATATAAATTATAATGCTATAATTTTGATGAGCTAACCTTATCGATGCTTTGTTGACAGTAGAGAATTTTAGTGATTCCGGCTTTAACTATTCCTGTTTTTAGAGATTCCCTCTTTAGTATTCTTGTGTTTTTAGAGATTCCGGCTTTAGTATTCCTGTTTTTAGAGATTCCGGCTTTTAGTATTCCTGTTTTTAGAGATTCCGGCTTAATGCTTACCTGCTGTCGAGCAGGTGCAACCCTCGACCTTCGGTCTCGGGCTAGCACTGATCTTCTCTCGAGTTCTCCCAAAGGTCACCTCGGTTTGCATAAGCATGTGCAAACACAGTAAACATCTTTTATTTCTTTAGAATTTATTGTAATATAAGTAGCTACATTTATGTGCATGTGTATGAGTGAAATGTGTTATTCACTATACATAACCTTCAACCCCCTGTTGATATTAAGTGAAATTGAAGTGAGTTGTTTAAATAGATCTTCGAAATATTTCAAGTCCTTTATAAAAAATTAGTTTTGATGGTTTTCCTGCTCTTGATTTTGTCGAAATTGTTCGTTGTTTCACTACAATTCACACTTAACATGCTTTATTATATAGGTATTAGTTGTATTTGCATGTTTTGGATTTGAAAGAACGTTCCTAATAGATCCTCTACTCCAAAAGTAAGTTAATTTGCAGAAAACATGTGTTGTATCGTCGTGAATAACAAAAATACAGTTATCAAAAGCTGTTCTCATTTTTATCAAAATATAAGTCAATTTTGGGGGAAAACAAAACGTCAGAAAAGTTTTGGTGTCGTCTAGAGTTTTATCGCATGATTTTGTCATTAATTAAAACTTCTTTTAGAGATGTTTTATGTTTAATCTTGTATTTCCAAGTTTTTCATTCGCACGAAGTTGTGATCTCAAATCAGGGTTGCATGCTAAAAGTTTGTATTTCAAAATTGTTTTGCGATTTCATTCTAACTTTTTGATTACATTTTTTTATTAGTATTGTAAAAGTTAAGAAACCAACCATTCATTTGACTTTAAACTTATTCGTTTGCATTAAATGAATCAGCTTCACATGCGTAGCCAAAACGTTGATGTATAATTTGGTTTTCATTGCAATGATACTTCATATAGATTGCGTTGTTATTGGTACGGCGTTGACACTTTAATACTACCTGAGATAAATGATTTGGAACCGGAGGAATATCATATATGTCGACAGTTTGTGCGTTATCACAAAGAAAGTTGTTTGGAAGCATTAAGTTCGAGACCAGCAGAGGATGGGTAAGTTATTGTGATGCGATGTTTGTTTAATAACGAGTAATATCATAGGCGGCCCAGAAATCTGTTTAGCTTTTTTATTCAATCGATTTATGTAGTAAATATAATCTTTGATTCATATGCAATATTTATCAAGCGCGCTATCTCGCGTGAATTCCACATTTTTTTGGTCTTAAAGGTCTTATATATTGACAATGTAGGCAACTCTCAACACAAAATTACCAACCGTTAACACAAACACTTTCACAAAACCGTAAATATCTTATAACTACATGGAAAAACACGAAAAACAAATACATCTCATTAATAACGAATAATTTTACTGTATTTTTGCAGCTTTTTTAACATTCAAATGTATTTCTATGCATTATGAAAAAAGCAAATGTTTGTAGGGTTTGTGGCAAATATTTTTCCAAACTTATGCTGGGGACACTTATATTTTTGAATGCTCAAACGCATTGCAGATTGGCTAAAATTGTTTTTGCATGCATTCGGATTGGCTTCCTTTTTTTTTGATTGTTTTCATAAAAATTCAGCCAATCTGCATTGTGTTTGAGCATTCAAAAATATGATAAGTGTCCCCAACATAGGTTTTGAAAAATATTTGCCATACACCCTAAAAACATTCGCGTTCTTCATATGCATAGAAATACGTTCGAATGTTCAAAAAAATGCAAAAATACCATAAAATTATTTGTTATTGAAGAGAGGTATTTGTTTTTCGTGTTTTTCCATGTGCTTTTACAGTTTTGTAAAAGTGTTTGTGTGAAATGTCGGTAATTTTGTGTCAAGAGTTGCATACCTTGTCAAAATATAAGACATTAAAGACCATACAAACGTGGAATTCGCGCGAGATAGCTTGCTTGACAAACATTGCATATAAATCAAGGAATATATTAAAAAACCTGAAAAATCTAAACACATTTCTGTGCCGCCTATGGTGATATTAGCTAAGTATTTCCAAATATTTCTAATTATTTTTAGACTTTAAATTGAAAAAAATTTCTTTTCAATGTTATATAGGCAATAGTTAACATGATAAGTAATAGTCTTAGACAATGATCGACTTTTTAAGTATTTAAAGTACTTTTGAAATGAAGTTATCGAGTCATTTTTGCGGGCATAATTCAAATTACTAGCTCTTTAGATCGGTTTTTTGCAAACAGAATTGAAATTAGTCTTTTTTATAGCTGTCGATGTTTGGGATTTTTCTGTAAGGTTTTTGCTTCCGCCGTATTGACAGGTGTGACGTCGTAATGAGCACACTTTCTCATTATTTCCTACTCAGCTTATAGCGATAATCAACTATAAATTCATGAAAATATGAAACTTTGCTATTTTGTAGCTCATTAGGAAATTCTTTTATTGTCAGTGGAACTTCGTATTTCTATGGCTGTAACCTGGTAGACTGGTTGGTAAGAGTTGGCCTTGTTGCAGATCGTGTTACAGCTGTGAAATATGGGAACAGTTTGCTCAAAGGACGAGTTATTCGACACTCTGAAAATCGATATTATTTTAGAGACTCAACTAATACATATAATTTTTGTCCTGATTGGGATGAGCATGATCCAGAGATAAAGATAGAATGAACTGCATTCAAGTAATTTGTGTTTTTACTTGCACATGTAAATTCCTATTTTGAGTATGGGCTGCATTTACCGCCAACAGCATTTTTCAAAACTAATCAAACGCATTCATTTTTTTAAATATTCGTGATAAACAGTAGAAAACATCTTTTACTGCACCTGCACAATTTTGTGAGATAATAACCTATAACCTATATATTAAACCCAGAAGATTTAAATGCTGCAACATGATTTTATGATGATGAGACATTTTTTGTTAGACGGTGAAGACGTTTCACAATAAAAATAGCATTTATGGTGTTTTAAGTTTTGTATTTCATAAAAAATTAATTTGTTGCCCTAAGTTGGGTGGAAATAGTGTAAAATTTTAGCTAACTGGATAGTCGTTTCTATAAACATAAGTTATAAAAAGACACTTTAGCTAATAGGATTTTGTCATACAAAACTTGAATGTCCTTTAATGTCTATGTACTTAGAATAGATTAATCAAGTCCTTGATTTTATAAAGATATGCTTAAAAGTTCTTGAATTTTAGATTTTGGGTGAATAGTTTGTAATTACGTCGGTTGGTACACTATTTTCTTCAATTTTTTCAATGTCAAAACTAAATTATCTAGCGACGTGGAGGTTTTCACCTCACATGAAAAACACAATTTGTTCGGCATTCATTGAAAAATTGTTTTTGTTTAACTTTTGATGATATGTTTGATAAATTCTTGCTTTAGTCGTGCTTTGCATTCAATTAAAGATCTAGCTCGCTCTTAAAATTTTAATCCTGCAATGTAGCTACGGACCCTGGTGTAAGTAAATTTTGGGCTCGTTTTAAGATACAAGCTCATGTCAGAAGTAAGTTTAACTCGTTCCTCGACCAATTTCAATAATTTTTTGAAAAATTAATGAAAGTTTTTTTAGAAAATAGCAAGTTGCTGTAATTATTTATTGGTATCACGCTGTATATGCACAATAAAATCTCACGAAGGAATTTTTTCGTAGTTTCGTTTTCAGTGTTTTGAAACTACTGTGCTGCTGAGTTGCTTTGACGTTCTTATATCAACTATATTTTCTGTTGGTGGATAAGTTATATACTCTAGAAAAGTTACAAAAATAGACGCCGAACGAGGTATTTCACAAAAACCATTAGCAGCCGACAATTTAAAAAATATGGTATGAAACAAATTCCGAAAAAACAAGACATCTTGAGATTGCAAAATATGCATTAAAACGAGAAGTGAACTGTACATTTTCAACTTTATTTCAAAGTCATCCTCAGACAAAATGATATTTAAAACCATACGTACACATATATATAACGTCGTGATCTTTGATAGCGTATGCATGGTTTGTGTAAATCAGAGTCGGTGTTTCGGAGTTTAGACCAAAAACCATGACCAGCCGACAATTTAAAAAATATAGCTAGTATAAAACAAATTCCAAAAAAACAAGACGTCTTGAGATTGCAAAATATGAATCAAAACAAGACGACAAGTGAACTGTAAATTTTCGACTTTATTTCAAAGTTTCGTCTTTATTACCGCGGGAATTAGCTAATTAACATCTATTGCGCTGCCTGGCCACTTAAATCTCATCCAACAGGGCGATTGACAACAACAGGGAAAACAATGGTAAAAAAACAAAAAAAGGAATTGGGATAAGGTTTGAAACAAGTTGAAGTGCGATGTGATTTCAACAAAACCTACCAATATTGAAACCAAGAAAACGTAGACATTCTTTTAGAAGACAGAACAAGCAAGCAATCGGTTCGTTGGGAATTTATATATAGTATAATGTTGGTATCATTTAGGCATTTCTGTGATCTTAACTTTCTAGGAATTTTCTTTGTCTGAGCCAGTAGAAAAAGACTTTCTTTCAGAACACTTTTGACAACCTTAGCGGTAGTCATCTAAGGTTGCCGAAACGTCAGTCAACAACAACAGAAACAGTCCTTCTCAGGACTATGCTAACCTGGACGATCTACATCTACAAACATGTAACTATAGCTACAATTAACCATCCTTGAATTTGATAAATAAAACTTAAGTAAATATAGACTAAATAGCAACATTTTAGCTTGTTGTAGGTTTTAATTTTAATGTATTTTGTAGCATGCTTTGCAATATGGTACAAAACTTGTCAATTAGCTATATTTGATCGCATGTCTTATGATTATGCTATTAGCTAACTAAATTTCTTTATTAACGAGAAATTTCTATAATTTATTTTGTGTATTGAAAAGCAACGCTGTAAAGTCTTGCTGTCCTCAGTAAAACACTGGATGTGTAAATCACACATACGAAATTGAAATATTGAGGTAGGGTAGGAAAGATAAGTTTAATATGTATTTACTTGCATGCATATATGCATTATTTTGAGACTTACGAGCAAGAACATTTCTCCCTTCTTTCATTTTTTTGTGTAAGAAAGTTGATCCTTGATGACTTTAGTGCCTTTTTTACCTTTACAACATATGGTTATATGTGGTTACCTAACAAAGAAACTGTGATAGATCTCGAGTTTTTTACTTCAGGCAATAAGCTTAATATTACATGTTTGTGGATGTAGATCGTCCAGGTAAGTAGAGTCCTAAAGAAGAGTGTTGTTGATTTTGACTGACGTTTCGACAAACCTTAGCGGTAGTTAATTTCAGAGTCAAATGAGGAGTAAACTTCAGGTTAGCCGTATTTGTTATCTGATTCTTACGTCATTGTATTGAGTGTGTAGGAAATATGTGGGTGTCAATTGTGTATTGTCATCGTGGATTAGTGTAGTGTTATGTGTTTAGTTGATCGTTTGTATTGTAAATAAGTCGTTTGTATTGTGTCTGTAATTGCTGTGATCTGTTCAGGGGGTTATGTTCCAAGTTGGTATACTAACACTCTAACTTAAACCGTTGTCTATAGTCAGTGCTGTAAGTAATGCATTTTGCCGAGTCCCAGTCAGTGTTAACGTTGTGTTTTGCCAGTGGTGTTCAGCACAATATGATTGATTTTGTCTTGTATCTTTGTAGCTCGTTTGGTATACTAACTTTATAATTTAAACCGTTGTCTATAGTCAGTGCTGTTAGTAATGCATTTTGCCGAGTCCCAGTCAGTGTTAACGTGTTTTGTCAGTGATGTTCAGCAATATGAATGATTTTGTCTTGTATCTTTGTAGCTCGTTTGTGTTCAGTAATTCTTATGTTTAAGTTCCTGCCAGTTTCCCCGATATAGGAGGCGTCACAGACTGGCAGTTGGAGCAATTAATTATGCTAAATATCTGTGCAAATTGTCAACGATCCAGTAACTACATGTTTGTAAATGTAGATCGTCCAGGTTGGTATAGTCCTGAGGAGGACTGTTTTTGTTGTTGTTAACTGACGTTTCGACAGCCTTAGCGGTAGTCATCTTCAGAGTCAAAAGAGGTTCAAACCGGGGTTCAAACGATTTACTTTGATCCAGTAACTACTAGCTATGACCAAATTAACGGGGTTAGTAGATATGGTTGACCCTTAGTACGCATTCTAGACAACATTTCTATGGGTTTCAAGAGCGTAAAGGCCCATTTCCACTTCATTCGCAAATCGCATGCGAACATTCGCGTTGCGAATTTGACAAGTTCGCAATGTTTGAGTTTTTGCGAAAGTTCGCATGCGAACCTGCGTGGGCAACCAATCAGAAAAAGACAATAACAAACAAAAATGGCGGCGACAGGAAGATAGAATGGACGCCAGAATTAGTTGAAGCCTTGATTGAAAATGTTCGTTCAAACAAAGTCGTTTGGGATACTAGCAATGCAAATTACAAGAACAAAACTGTGCAGGAGTCAACATGGTTAAAAATAGCAAGTGAGTGTGGTCTGGAAGGAAAAGCATCGAGTATTAAAGCAAAATGGCACGATCTAAAAGACACGTATAGGAAAAAGTTGAAGCTGTTGATACCAAAATCTGGTGATTCTGGTGCTACAAAGAAAGCTACTTGGCAATGGATGAGTCAAATGAGTTTCATGGAAAAATTTAGCATAGTTGAGACGCCAACATCTAATTTCTTGACAATATATGAGGAGAAAGTCGCGAGATAGGCTTGCTGTCAAACGAAACTGAGGCGGACATATCTGACTTGTCCCTAACGTTAGATGATCCATAGCCAAACAGCCCAGCTTGCTCTTCATCAGCAAGTGCCGTTAGTAATACTGAAATCTCTAAAGCACCAAATTTCTCTGGTAAAAGAAGGAAAAGGGATGAATCACTCAACCAAGTAGATTTGGCGATTTTATCTGAACTAAACAAAGATAGGGATGATGAGAATAGTCTGTTCAGGAAATGCTTGATTCCACAACTAAGAAGACTGGAGCATAAAAAGAAAACATTAATAAAATGCCAAATTCAGCAGCTGCTTTTTCAGGCAGAGTCTGAGTCCGTTTTGAAGATCAATGATTTCTCCTGAATTGCTCCTGCTAGATGGAGTATTCTAGTTAGGTCTTGGCATGTAAATGTGCAAAACATGTACTTGAAAGTTTTGACTGCTCCATTCAAAGGCAAATTCACAGCTTATACACATACAGTCAAAAAGAACTGCTCAGGTTTTGTTTAGTAATGTTGAATAGATAGCAATTACCAAAGAGCTGGATCCACTTGTTATTGAATATACTACCATTTTTTTCTCAGAAATTCAATGTAATGTTTTGGCGTTTTGTAACAACAATACCCCTGATAAACCATTTTTACTAGTGGGCAGTTCTTTTTGACTGTGTCAAACAATCAAATTAAACAGCTAGAATCCTTTACCAATTTAATGAGCTCATTTTCCTAATATTTACATACTGTTATAGTTTTGACAAATTTACAGTATCTGTGTGTTATGTGTTTTTTACAAGATTGGAAACATTTTGGTTCTGGTCTTTAGCTTTAAATACTCAACATCAACAAACATCATTTATTTATGTACACATTTTGCCAAGGTAATGTTCCAGCAGTATCTGCATTTCTGTCTTCGCTCATGTCTGGGCAATGTTGATTCATGGAACATTAAGAAATTGTGTAAGGCTACCACAGCTTTGACGATACCAATGCATCGCTCAAGTATAGCATCGATTGGTCGCTTGAAAATGCGCCAATCGATGTGACGAAAGGTTTGTGACGTCATTTAAGGAACGTATGAATGCGCTGCATACAAAACAACATAGTGTGAAATAACAATTCTTTATATATTGCTTTGAAATTAATATAATTGTACGAAACATGTCCACATCTGATTCTGAGTCGAGTACAGCAACAACAGTGGAAAATATTGAATTGAACAGTCGGGAATTCGATTTAGAAGACGAAGATCAATCGTCATCAAATGCGCTCCGAAACACCGATGGCGATTTTGAGTATGGCCAAGCTGAAGCGTATGAAAACGAACCACTTGCAGATGAAGAGTGGTTAAAAAAGTATATTAGAGAAACAGAAGAAGAAAGACGCCAAACAGAAGAGCTCGAACGCAGAATGCAAAATGAAGTTCCTCTTGATTCTTGGTAAGAAAAGTTGGAAAATTTGTTTATTTATTGTTGCCGAAGCTTTTGACAGATAACTTTCGTAGGTGCCATTGTGGTAACTGCCGTGTTCCTCTCTTGGTTAATCCAAAAGAATGTAGATGCTGCCACGAAATTGCCAATTGCATGATTGAAATGCAAGATCATATGGTGGTATCCGAATTAGGAAGGCAGCCAAAATGCATAACAGAGCATCCAGGATTTGATGCCATTTGCCTCAATCGATGGGCATTAAATTTAGCTGCCAATCTTTACCAAAGACAAGATGGAGTTAGATATCATAAAGGATTCTTGGAGCAAAGGTTTGTTAGAATTATTAGTTAAATGTTTCTGTCTGGGTTATCTATGAATGCACACTTGCAAAATTTGTATTTTATGGACTCCTACCTGTTTTAATGGACCTTTTGTATTATGCCTTTTCAGGTTTTTTCGAGTTGTTGCATATAGACAATTTACAAGAATGGTACATGGCATTCTTCGAGACAAAAGAATTCCACTTCCAGCTTGTGCTTACCATGTTATTCGAAAAACTTTTAATTTAAAAAAAAATGAACACTTTGCAGGGTATGAAGAGGACAATTTGTAAAATAACATAACATTATATATTATTTTAGGCGTTGTTTGCATGAGCCCAGCTAGTAGGGATTCAGTGAAGTGTGGAATGATTTAAGCCACTCTTGATTTATTGCATCTTCGATTCACACTTATACTTGTTATACAAAACATACAAAATTACAATTCCTTTCTCTTTATTCTGTCCATGCAGTCAATTCACACTTCACTGAATCCCAGCTAACTGGGCTCATACCACCAGGTCCTAAAAAACTGGTTACTTTCGGTTTTTTGGACAGTTCATTATATTTTTATGGCCTTTCATCCAATTCTTGCACACAGTGCATCGAGGTGCTGCTCTCTCATTTCTCTGATTAGTGATTATTTCTTGGACAGGTGATACTTCAGCTATATCAAACAATAAAGTGAGTCAGTTCCAAAAATAAGATTCAAATTAACTCAAAGCAAGTAATGCCTTTTGTAAAACCTGGCTTATTTGGGGGGAAATGTACAGCTGGCATGCTTTTTCTTCTTGCTTTTTTTGAGATAGCTTCACTTTTTGATTGCTTGTCCAACATGGAATTCATTGGCAATGGAGTCATTCGATCAAAAGATCACCTTTGGCTTTTCTCAATGTTTCCTCATCAATGAGTGCAGAGCACAACACTTGATAAATATCTTCAACATACCCTGGAGGAGCAATGTGCAAATTATTCAAAATTTTATTTTATGGTAATCATTTCTTATTAAGGCTTTCATTATTATGGCATTAAACACATGATATCTGGCAGTAGGAGAAATGTATTAAATAACCTTACCAAAATCCTGAGCAACTTTTACATTTCTTACAACAGCTTCACCATTTTTAATCAGACATCCACTTTCTTTTCATCTAAAATGGCATGTATTTATGAAATATACTCTCACACAGATTCCAGGTAAAATGTAGATATGCATATGTATAATTTTAACGTACTCACCATTCTGCGATCTCTTGTTGTAAGTTCATTGTCATCTTTTCGAGGATAAATGCTCGGGTAAGCAACGATTCCGAATTCATCTTGAATGAGTCGAGGTGCAAAATTACTTTCTGATTCAGAAAGCGAGCCGAATTGCCGAGAAAACGAATCTTTTGTGAAGTGTTCCGAGCAAACTGCGGAATTCTTTGTGGGGACCCACTTATCGCGAGTAGCTTTCACAAAGTTGACCCATCGCTTTCTCCTACGCTTAGCTTCGCTTCTTTCGTCGTTAAAAAATGGTATGCGATGAAGTGAAATGCCTTTCTCCAAACTGGCTACGTTAGAACAACCAAAAACTACACATCGATCTGGCATTTTTGTGTTTGTTTACATGCATAAACTGTGTAAGTTGTTTTGGTAGTCAGTCTGTGTTCCTTAAATGACGTCACAAGTAAGTCCCATGCCACGGATTAGAGCTCTCGACATTTTTTACAAAACGTTGAAATTTAGGTTTTATTCGCATCTTTGCCGAAAGATAACTCAAAAACGAAAAAAGTTATTCAAATTCTGTAAACGGCATTTGTATTATTTATCCAAAATCTATTTGAGAATAAAAAACTAAAAATAACTGTATGTGCACTTTAAAGAAACTTTCGTGGTCTCCTAGTTGCATTTCTCTGACCAGATTGGCATACTCTCCTTGCTCTTTTCTTTTTTGAATAGGTCGGACCCAAAATCGTTTCTTGTATTTTGCCTTCCTTTTTTGATACCTTTTTCGTAATAACAATATTAAAAATTTTCTTCTGCAAAAAACTGCCATGTTTTTTATTTAACCCGCAAAATTTTGCCATACAAAATAATTTCATTTTATTGGTCAATTAAACAATAGAAAATCGTGCGAACAGCGTTGATGTTTGTGATAAGTGTGTATTGAATTCACATGTGTACAGACATCGCATGCGATTTGCGAATTGCGAATGAAGTGGAAATTGGCCTTAACTGGTTAATTAAATATAGCAACATCAAAACTTTATTTACTGCAGATGTGTTGACGACATTTCCTGTATTTTTCATAATTACATCAACAAACAGCATTAAAGCATAAACTTCACAAACCAAATTGAACAAGACAATTATTTACCCTCTCTGGATATCTTACTAGCTAAATGAGACGAAAACTGTGTGTCCTCAACGTACCATAATCCAACATATAAACGACTACTAACAATCTATTTTAGTTTCTCACCATTAAATTGCAAAATTGGATTGATACGAACATTGACCCACAGAACACTAAAACTGAATAACCCAGAAATCGGCTTTCAGCGTGACTTAAAGAAACTAATTTTCCCTCTTCAACGTAATTCTTTTCCTTTTCATTTCATCATCAGCACAATACAACACTATTTAAGCAACTAGAAAAGTTCTACTCATCCAACTTCACAACTATTTTATGATGATGGAATAGACACTTTTGCATGTGTATAATATAAAAAACTGGCCCTCTCCTACCTAAGCTTGGTCATTTTTACTCAAGCTTGCTCGTTTGGTACCATGCATAAGTCGTGTAGTTCTTATCTTTGTACCATGAACTTAACGCTGGTTTCTTTACTGAAAACGTAATGGCCTAATTTTGAATTTGAATCTAAATTTTTTCTTGAAGATTCTAAAATATGATTAATTGAGAGAGTGGGAAAACTTTTACCTATTGATTATGATTGATTGCTCAAGTGATTGATTGCACGCATGCATATAATGGCTAAATTTAAATAAATGCCAAACAAAGGCAAAATATTATCTACTTGTACAGCTGTACGCTAGATAGGTTAATAAGAAGCTCATGTTTTATTTATAAAAATTTAAAAAGAAATCCTAGCTCTTTCGAGGATATGAAATTGTGAATATAATAAATATAGTAGAATTAGTATACGAAATAAAGCACTCTTTATGAAGATAGTATAATAATTACTAATGACATACTGTGTATTATTTTGAAAAACTTAAGCGAAATTCTTATGCTCTGGTGTTCGCACTCTCGTCATTTCGTACGTCTGTTGCGGTTTCGTTCTAATGATGGATTTTGTTGCCATCGATTGAAATAGAACGACTATCTTGTTTTAGCAACAAAATTTCAAGTATATGAAAACTTTAAGCATAAACAAATCATCCGCGACAGATCTCATGCTTCATATTAAGGATATTTCACTTTTGATAAAACATAAGGTTTTTATGAGCCTACCTAGTCTACAGCTGTACAAGCCCATAAAACTTTCCGTCGTCTTTTTTTTAATCTTGTGTGTTTAGCCATTACATGCGTGCAATCAATCACTTGTGCAATCAATCATAATCAACAGATAAAAGTGTTATCACTCTCTCAATAAATCATATTTTAGAATCAACACGAAAATATGACCAATACAAGAAAAATATAGATTCAAATTCAAAATAAGACCACTAGGTTTATAGCAAAGAAATGAGTGTAAGATAAGAACTAAATAACTTGTGGTACAAAACAACCAAGCTTGAGTAAAAATAACCAGGCTTAAATAGGAGACAGCAATTTTTCATGTTATGCATATGCAAAAAGTGTCTGTTCCATCATCATAAAATCTTGTTTTATTTTTGCTTGTCTTCCTTGGACGTAGTTCTACGCATGTTATGTAGTTTTAAGTTCCTTTGAAATCCATTGTTTTCTATGGATTTAATATGCGTATATATGAATTAACCTTCCTTTCCCAATTATCCATTTCCCTATGTTGTCTTCTCTAACTGTAGTAAGTATAGTACAAGATTGAATGCCATTTAAAAAACTCAACTCAATATTTATGTCAATACATTGCAGTGTGTCCAATCCGATTGCTTCCGAACGGACATTGTTAAGATGAGATAGTTTATTATTCCTCTCCAGCTGTTTTATATCTTAGACATTTATGGTTGTATACTATGTTATGTATTTAACTATTAGATTATAAGCTCAAAATTTCTATGAGGTGAAAACTGGTCAGGGCGAAGCCCTAATCAACTATCCCATGATTCCAATCATGGAAATCAAGAGCAAATTTACGGTTAGAATTCAGAAATCTGAGTAGTACGCAAGACAGTATAGGATCGGCAGCCATATTTTTTGCTGCTCACTATCTATTATAGTAGGCAATCAAGTTATAAAGCATTTGCAATAGAATACTAGCATGATTCCACTAATATATAATACGTTATGCTCATATACATCGATTTGACCATTAAAATCATATTGTTATAAATTAGAATAGATAGCGATCTTGCAGCCTTTTTATATCGTTTGTTCAAATTCAGTCTTTCTTTTGCAATGTATATTTTGTTGTAGTCTAGCATTGAATAAATGTTTAATTTCATTATTTTTGATCTTCTGTTTGTTTTGGACTTCTTTTTATTATATATACAGGCAAGAACTTTTTTCATTCAGTTTTCAATAAATCGATTATTTTGTTACACTAAAATTTAAATTGCTTTTATATTCTTTAGAAAAGATTATGTGGTTTTATAGCTAGGAAACTGTGTTAGATCTTTCCAGAGCATACTTCTAGCTCTTTATTTCTTCAGACAACAAGCTTTGATCAATATAGCTATTAGCATATGGAATGAGCATTTAGCTACAGCAACATCTGTTCTCACAAAATGATCTACTGCATGTGTCAATTATCTTTTCTGAACTTAAATTAAATACGTATCATCACATTCAGTATTCAGAAGGCTTTGATGCATGATATCACCTTTAGAATATTAGATTCCTATTAAAAAACAATGGACTTGATGTTGCGAAGGCATTTGATAGTTTTGTTCGTGGTTAACATCATCTTTGCACTGTCTGGAGTGATCTTGAATCTGTTCGTTATTGCTTCTTTGATGAAGTCGTCACAACTTCGAAAGAAACTTTGTCATTTCATGGTCGTCGTGATATCTTTTTTTGATCTCATGAATGTCATCACAGGTCAACCATTATTGCTGGCGGAGCTTGTGTTGTGGATGAGTGAGGAAAATAAAATACTCAAGGACCTTGAGAAATACGTACGCTTCACATTTGCATTTGTCGGTTCTTCATTGTTGGCACTTTTAGTGATGAGTATTGAACGTTATCTTGGAGCATATCACCCCATTTTCCATCGAAAGTCTCTGACTAAACGCCGTTTGTTGCTGTTCCTTGCAATTTTGATTGTTTTAAACATTGCAATGAACAGAATTGCTACGTTGAACAATGTGGCAAGGTGTGCAATGTATATAGTTTTCTCTGGTCTTTATTTGCCTCCATTTTTGTTTGTAAACTATAAACTATTTACAATGTCAAGAAAACTTAGTCGAGATCGCGCAACATCTTTTCCTACTCGACAATATCAAAATTTAAAAAGTGTGTCAACCTGTCTTCTTGTTGTTGCATCTGTTCTTATTTCCTCAATTCCAAGTTTTATTTTTCTAAGTTTAAATTTTGGGCAAAAAATAGAATCATTAGCATATCGGCTATCTTTTGCTTGGGCGCGCACAATGTTCACCATGAATTGCAGTTTAAATTGTTTCATATTTTTTTGGAAGAACAATGTCCTTTGTAATGAAGGGTTGAGACTTCTAAGATCAATAATATTTGTCCAATTTTTAAGTTGCATATGACTGCCTATTTATATGTATATATATACAAGTGATATCATTAGTTGCCTGAAGATTGCTTTTGCACGAAACTCCTAGTATAGCAACATTTTAAGAATTGTAATTTCTTTTATTTTAAATATGTACTCTAGTCTTCCCCTCTGCCTTGTATTGATCATTGCTACTATTTTATATGAAATATAAAATAGTATAAAATTGATTGTTCTATTTTAATTTAATATATATTTATATTATATAGGCTACTTGTTTGCTTCTAATCCGAATCTGGGTTTGCCTTTCGTTGAATTATTTCTCTACATGCTATATTCATATGTTTTCGTTAGTGCGCTTAATGATAAGTAAAGGAGAAAATAAGACTTTTGCTGAAATTGTGGTAGAACCAAGATAAAGCTAACTTTTATCTTATATTTGGGTAATAGAATACCGTTCCAGTTTGCGGAAATTCAAGTTAGCGGAGGTTCAAGTTAGCGAGGGTTTAATTAGAGAAGGTGGTCAACAATAGAATCATATAAAGTAGTTTCACTAATATCCTGTTCTAACACTGTTGGCTAAATTTTATATTGCACGAAAAATGTAATTCTTAAATATTGCAAGAGTTTTTGTCCCAGAAAAAAAACTTGTCAAAGAAAACGTGTTCTAATGTAAGAGGCTATGATGATAGGATTTGAATTGATCTTTCGCTTTACTGAACTTGCAATATAATTACCCGTATATTCGTAATAGTCTAGCACATATTTTGTTTATTTCAATTTTTCTTGATTTAACAGTTTAGAAGAAGCGGATGGTTATACATTTATAAAGATTTATCAATAGCTATTTAGTAATTTTGATTTGACCTATTTTAATAAGTAAGCATTTGTCTAATGAAGAATACATTTTAATCTCCAACGACATCACGTTAAACAATGAAAAAAAAAAAATTAGAAAAATATTTGAAATGACATGAGAAGATTTTGAGCAAACTTTCTATGGAGAAATGCAAATTTATAAGTTGTACCTGTCGTACTTTCGAAGAACCTTTAATTTTGAATGCTATAGTGATGAAAAGATATCTGACATACAAACATTTTTAAATTAGTCTGAATAGTACCGTTAGTGAAGTTGCAATCTTAATTGTGATTCGCTAAGAGTCTACTGATAATTCTCAATGTTTACCACAAAGAAAAATATGAAAAGTATCTGCATGAATGTAATTTTAATGTGACATCTCTAAAAACAAAAAATAGGATTTTCTAGCGTTTTACAAACTGATTTCGCTAATCACAAGGAAAGGAAAGACGCAAATCATATGGAAAGGGCTATACTGCCAACTAGGAGATTTTTCAATGATTTTTTACAGGAAAAGGTGGAAAACAAAGAGCAAATTCTGATGGCTTCTGTACACAATAGTTTGAAACGTCTTCCACATTTATATAATGAAATTATTGTATTCGGTTTTCGGATGATATCAAGAATTATTCAGACGAAAACAGACCTCGGTCTAAATAGCTCCTGATATCATGCTCAACCTCATCCAATGATTGTCAACCTTTTACCCCATGAATTTTTTTCGGGCCATGGAATGCCATCGGTCCGTGATTGTTGCCCTAAAGCAACATTGCGCAAGAAAAGGTTAACCGGTTAAGTAAGTACCTGAGTTAAAACCCAAGATTAAAATTCGAAATTTTGATATTGAAACATGTGCACCTTTGTTTAATTTTTTTCTTTTATCATTAATTTTTTTCTTGGATTAATTCTCCAGGGGCCGGCTGCACGAAGCTTTGATAGTATTATCCATTGACCAAGGGATAGTAAATTTTTTAAACTTTTGGCAAAAGGTATTTATATTCTCGTTACGACAAAGAAATTTTTTAACCTTAGAAGCAATATTTTACTTCAGTGATTGCTCATTTCACATCTGATATTTTTCCTTTTTAAGAAGTTTTTTACAGTTTAGAAGAAATTGTTATCCAATGGATAGCGCTATCCATGATTCGTGCAACCAGTCTCTGTATTTTATCAGATGTTATACTTGGGCTATTAACCCGAGTCAGGGTTATAGACCGTGGCCAGATGGTAAAAATGTTCTTAAAAACGATTTTAGCTGCACACCTCTCACAACTAATAGCTTCTTTCATAATTCTACGGGGAATATTGTAAAAGAAAGTAATCAATGTGGCTCCAAGCGATAAGTGTGCACACTAAGCAGATATTGACGTTTTATTCACGGTGACGTCATCGATAGATATAAAACCAAAAAAATTTGCAAATTCCAAAATTTCTCAGTACCATTCGATAGACTAGTATGGAATAAGTACAAAAGTTTATTACACCGTTTACTTTCAGTCACTTGTTTATGAAGCACGAACGAATGGTTTTTAAAATGATGCTGACTCAGCATTTTAAAGTCTTATCCTATACCACAGGCAGACCTTGCCAACTCGCCCAGTTTTATATGCTGTAAACTACATCTTAAAAAAATCTTCTGAGCACCAGATTTTCGATCATTTTCATTCTTCTTTCATGACATATTGTTAATGAAAATAGTTTTGAAAGAATGAGGTCGGACTAAGTATTTAATGGCAACAAATTTTAAGCATTTTTTTTGTCTTGCTTTTAAATTTTCCACATGCTTTCTTATTATGAACAAGAAATCCACTTGGATTTTGTCTGTTTACTGTTTTTCAATTCCCTTCACCACAATTCTCAACAATTCCCTTCAACACAATTCTCTTCAACCAAGTTCTTCTGTTCATCAATTCTTGACTTGCAATTCAGCCATGCTGGTGGCATGATACAAAAGAATATTTTATGAGTGTTTGGCACCAACCGACATGGGCGAGCAACATTCTTTGGTAAATCTCAAGAGAACGGTTTCAAGTCAAGAATGTGTTGGTCAGTTTGCGAATTCTTGGTTTGTAAGCTACGTCATAGCCGCCATGTTGAATGATAGGATTTTCTTTACAATGCAAATTATATCCAACATGACGAGCATCCACTATTCTCTTACTCCCAGGGGAAGAGTTGAAAGCCAGCAATACAATTCTCTAATAAACACACACTTATACTTGATTTTTTCAAAATTATTTTACTAAATACATGTCATAACAAGTATTAAAAGCGGTTGAAAGTGATCGAATCTGGTGTTCGGAAGATTGTTTTAAGATTTAGGTGACAGTCAATAAAACTGGGCCGGGCGAGTTGGCAGATCTGTCTGTGGTATAAGACAAGACCACAGAATAAGAACATACAGAAGAGTCACTCATGTCGGAGCCTTGATGTTTTTGTCCTCGCGCATTTCGCGGCGCGCATGGTGGCCGCCATTATTCCACGCAGATGATTAGGAGTTTTGACTTTATCCAAACCTTTAAAATGATCCGAAGTCATTTCTTAACTCAAAATATTCTTGAATTCATTATTAAATATTCACGTGATGTAATTTTAATGGTTAGAAACAAGTGAGAAATCCTAATCATCTGGCTGGAATAATGACCGACATGAGGACACGTTGTACACCTGAGTGACCCTTCAGTATAATCATTATTCTGTGACAAGACTTTCAAATGCTGAGTCAGCATGATGTTAAAAAAACATTTGTTCTTGTTTCGTGAACGAGTGATTGAAAGTAAACGATGTGATACATTTTTATACTTTCATACTAGTTTATCGAATGGTACTGAGAATTTATGGAATTTGTAAAATTTTTTGGTTTTCATATCTATTGATGACGTCATCGTGAATAAAACGTTAATATCTTCATATTGTGCACACTTATCGCTTGGGGGCCACATTGATTACTTGCTTTTGCATGATTCCCCATAACATTATGAAAGAAATTATTAGTTGTGAGAGGTGTGCAGCAAAAGTTGTGTTTTAATCCCATTAGTAATTCACTCACTCGTCGTGAAGCAATCCATGAAAGATTTTGATTAGTCGGTAAAGGGCGTACCATTTAATCTCTAGTAACATATAGTAATGAAATTATAATGTGCTTATATACAACACTAGATAACGCATCCATGTATAAAGTACAATACGAAAATTAAAGCTGGAAGTTTTCTCATTTGCTTACGACCTTCGTGGAGGTTATCGGTCCTACTTTATTGAACTTTTGTATTGCGAAATCCCAGTTTTTTGCGTTGTTCTTCGTTCTACCAACCTTTGATTCAAGCAAAATTTTATGAAAAGGACAGGAAGACCGGCAAAGATATTTAATCCTAAACAGTTTTGTCTTTTTTGTTTTCCAGAAAATTGAGATGGTGCATTGTTGACTTGCATTGGTTTGCATTCCTCATGAGGCCGCTATTGCATTCTTTGAGGCTGTTATTGCATTCCTCAACAGAATCCTCACGAGCATCTTTCTTAGAGGGTAATTGGATTATTGTTCCACCCGCCTCGTGACCGTATGCATGCAAATAATAATTCCAAATGATCTTGAGAGTATTGGGCGCTTCTTTGTGCGGTAATTGATTCCTTAGCATGGCCACTTGACTCATAGCTTCTTCTGGAATACCAGTTGATTCTAGTAAGATTTTAAATATTGTTGGAATATTGAAATGTGTAGTCATCTCTCTCAAAATGGTTACTCCATACGAAGCTGTGGTGTGTTGCTCAACATTTTTCTTTATCGTTTCGTACTCTTCTAAGTAATTATTCCCATTTTTCCAGACGCGGCTCAACTTTCAGTAGAAATCTATTTTTGGTGATCTTGTAATTTTTCATTGTTTCATATATTTATTTGTTATTTATACTTATTTTAAGTCTTTTGTGTATACTTATTGTAATACTTATTGTAAATCTTAATGTAAATTGTATTATGAAACTTAAAAAATTTTCTGTCACTTTTTTCTGTTTGTAAGCACTGTACTTCATTATTTTTCAATGCTTTTGTCAATGCTTGTCAAAATGAGACAAAAAACTCACCTGTAATATGCAAAGTAAGGAGAGTTTTCATTTTCTATAAAATTTTCATTTGGTGTCTCCCAGACCATGCAGGTGTATGGGATAATGCATTGTAATGCATTAATTATTCAAGCAATTTTTTCACCTTTTAAAAATATTTTTTAATTGTCTCTACAAATGCTCCGTAAATAACAAATTAGTATGCCTCTGTTTTGAAAACAAAAGCCTAGGGAGACTTAAAATATAAACAATTTCACGGTGAAATTTTCTTGCTTTTAAATGCTTATTTTTGGACTCTTAAAAAATCATGCGTGCTTCAAAAGCAGTTTATCAATGTAACTTCAAATATCAAATTACAAAACCTCTAAACTCTTTTCGGAAAAGTCTCATAACTGATATCTCAGAAAGAGCAAATACTTTCGCGCGGTTTTTAGCCAACTTTTTTTTTGTCAGATAACATTTCAGAAACTAAACAACCTTTGTTGCATCTAGTTACTTGAGTAAAAAATTGAATGCCTCTACTATAGTCAAAGCTAAATATTGAAGGTATTAACCAAACAGAAAAGGGTGAATTTAGCAATATAAAAAGTGTATTTGATTAAAAACTATGGTTACAAAGGACTGGCACTACCTACAAAACACTGCTTCAATCCCCCCTGATTCAATGTTCATAAGACGGGGGAGGAAAGAAATCGTCACATACAAAACCGGAACATGGCAACGGTCCGGTTTGTGGTCAAAATGTCAGGTCTGCTGCCTTGTGAAATTTATGCGATATAACTTCATAGCCTGTCATCTAACTATAACGTTAGGAAGCTTGGATTTTTCAAAGAATTTGAAGTAGCATGGACAAATTCAGCAAACTTGTTATTGGCACAACGATTGACATCAGACGAAGTGATGGTAAGTAGAACACATACGATTTTCAACTCTTTGAAAACTGCTCTTTCGTGAATGCTGTCTATTTCGAGTTATTGTGTTGTAGACGAGTTAGAGTTATTTTGATGTAGACGAATGAATTCAACGGGTATTTCAAGAAAAACTACAGATATTCGACATACTTCGTGTCGTTTTTCTTTTTAAATTGTCGACGTTTTGAATTTGTCCTGTTTTGAAATTGTCCCGCACACTAAATTAATTGAAGTATAAATTTACTTTTGCATGTATATCTGGGGACGTTTGCTGTGTTTATATTTTCCTAATTGGAGAAAGAAATTTACAATCTTAGAAGCCATATTTCATTTCAGTGATTGCTATGTTCAAATCGTTTTCTAAACGTTCAAATAGATTTGCTATCCAGTGGATGGCGCTAATCAGTCTTCGTGCAACCTCCCCCTGACGTATATCAGTTGCTTTGCAATATTGAATTAACGCCGTTTCTTTACATTTATTTTACTTTGACCTTGATCATACTGTATAGCGTACTTGTCCAATATAGCTCATGCTATTACCCTTGTGTTTTTGATTTCCTATAAGCATTATAATTCAAGAGGCCTTTGTTGAGAATGCAGTTTTGTCTAAGTGTTCGGCAGAACGTCTGTGCTAAAAAACATCAAAAAGTTTTAAATAATTATTCAACTAAAATTGAAAAGTTGGAAACCAATGTATTGATCACATTTTAAATAAATGATTAATCAGTGTATGCAATATCAAAGAGATAGCTGCAGTCATTCTCGTTTTATTGTTTACCACATTAAACAACATATGGCTTCTGAGCATTAAAAGATGGCTTTTGCTGATAAATGAAATTCTTGTCATTATTTTTTCTGAACTATTGTGAAATATGGGAAGAATTTCATCTGTCTGTTTTTCTCTTCCCCAAAAATTGGTACCTAAAAGTGTGAAAAGTGTTTATGTGGTTTCTATGTGAGCATTACAATGTTTCCATAATTTTTTAAGTACAATTATCTGACTTATTTCTAGCTAAAACATTATACAAATTGTTTTCAAAAAGGGAGGTTTTTTTGTCAATTTCACGTCATAAAAATGTGAAAACATCTTGCTTATCTTTTAATATGGCTTGGCCATTAAAGTTGCTGTCATCAGTCTTTATGTATAGTGTACCATAATATAGTTGAAATCAAGCAGCACATTGTGTGGCACAAAGTCAAGTCAAGGCTCAACTATTTTCACCTTTGCCAATAACATTTTAAAATTTATTTGTGATATAGAGCAATACAATTTTTTATAAAACTTTATTAAAGTTTGTTCATGATATATAAGTAAGGATTGTGGAATTCCTATCAAAAATGAACCTAGATCCTGGAAAGAGTATATTTTGAGATGTTTTCTAGCTGCTCAGGTTATTTTTAGCTCTTTCTCTTTGTCATCACTAATTTCTTGTTTAAAATTTTTTGTATGGGTTTAATTCACATTTTATATAAAAGGTTTTGGAATGTACCACCTAACCACCTTCTGGAATGGGATTAAAATTTTGAAATTCATTGTCTCCAGTTTTATTTGGCTGCCATTTTTTTAAAATTATGTTTTTAGGTCGAGTGCATTCCTCCATGCTGAGTGGAATAAACCTTGATTCAAAAAGTGCTACTGTGGAATGGTATGAAAATGGAGAAACCAAGGGCAAAGAGGTGACTTTAATTCAAAAAAATGCTTAAACTCTTGACCTAAGAGTTTTTTGTCAAGAAATATGGAAATTTTTTATCATGATGAACTTGCATCAAGCAGACATCCTCAAGGTTTTGACTACAGGTTGACTGCTGAATATAGGTCTTGCTGATAATCACCACTTTGGCTAAATCAAACATTCAATAAACATAACAAGAGACTGTATACAAATATGTCAGACTTAAACTGGTGAATGTTTTATTGTTTTGGATTTCCGAAACATAAAGATTTTCACAAGTTCCCATAAAGATATTAATTACATATGCTCCAGACCATTTTGTACCAGATTTTGTACAGTTTCAAAACAATGAAAAACTAAGTTTGATAGCTTGGGAGAGGTGTCTGTGTTTCCATAATGTATGGAATCATTCAATAAATGTTTTTTAATCAATATTTATCTTATAAAAATTTTTTGTGCAATGTCACAAGACCATTTAACAATGGGTGACCACTTTATACAGTCAGCATAATACAGTTTCAACTATATATTTTATAATTTTGAAGACAGACCATCATTTAAATTTAAATGTAACACAACTGGTTTAATTTTTTCCAGATTGAAATACGTGAAATATTTGCACTTAATCCTTGGCTGCTTCAAGGAAAACCAAAGACATCTTTAAACAAAAGAACATCTTCTCCAGGAATGGTACATTTTCTGTTATTAACTTCTTGCTTTCAACTAAAGGTTGCAACATGGTAGTTTTTAGTGCCCAAATTCTGTAGTTTTGGCTTTAGTGGCTATAGCTTTAAAATTATTCTAGTCTCCATGTAGAATAAGTATGCCTGGATTTGAAATGAACTTTTGGTACTGGTGTGTCTACCAGCATCACTATCTAGTAAATCTTAAGCGCTTATAGATGACCAAAGTTTTGATCACCTGGTGTAAAGAAATTTTTTTATTATTTAGATAATTTGATGACTTGTGTGGGGAGCATATACAGTTTCTATTCAATGTTGTAATTTCATATGTTTCCCTTCTAAACGTTACAATTAGCTACCTATTTTTGTATGATCAAGATGCACTATGTTTGATAAAGTATGTTTCAAATATTTCCAAATTTCAACAAACAATTTTTCACTTTTACGTAACTTTCACATTGATTTGATATTAAAATCTTTTTTGCAAAACGATAATTTCACTTCTTCAAGATGAACAAAAAGCCAATAAAGACCCTCAGTGCCTTCAAGTGCTCTATTTCTCTTACAAAATGGTCCTAAACTGCTAAAGTTTACATTAATATGAACAAGGCGTTACAATATTAGTTTGTTTTACCATAACATTTACATTCATAACGATAAAACGAGCACAGTCGTTTTAACGCTATTGTTGCATAATCGTTGACAAAGGCAGATTTGGTAACCATTGCTTTGTAATCCATACAAGATTTGAGTTTCGCTAAGTCGGCAACATTGCTGTTGCTCTACTAACTAGTTCTATTCAAGTTGTACGTGTTTACGGATATGTTTAACAACTGAAAGCGAGTGGCGTAGCAATCTGCGAATTTAGTTCTGCTAAGTTAATTATGCTGTGTTTATTCATTGCCAAAACAAATTAAATTTCCTAAGTAATGAATGATGAAATTATTGAAATATATCAACCAGGAATAAAACTTGGGGTCTGGCTGCACTGCTGCTGAAAGTGGCTTCATGTTTTGTTGTGTGTGAGAGAGTTCATAGTTTGATTTTAGCGAAAAATAAATAGTTCAAAAATAGTTAAAGATAATTAAAAGTAATGGGTGAGATTTACAACAGTAAATGGAAAATTTACAACAGTAAATGGTTGACGTGTTGCCAGAGTAGCCGATGGATAGTCACAAAAGATTGAATCATTTTTGAACTGCATTTAACAATACATCAAATAATTATGAATATACAAAGCGTATTTAAATTGTTTCAGATTTCAAGTCAAAATCAAATAGAACATCAAGTTCATCGTTGCACTAACCCTGAATCTTAGTTTTGTTTATGTGTATTGAAATACTTGATTTAACTTTATATTATCGTGCATTTAAATGCTTATTATGAAGTGTAATTGTTTATTTGTTATCATTGCCTAATATAGCCTGCTGATGACAAGGAAACACCCAAACTTTCAAAAAAAGGTAGAAATGGCATACTGTGTTTTGTGCATTCAAATCATGGGTAATAATGGAGTTTAAATGGAGGATTTACCTTCTACTGTAATTTAATATAGTTTTTTTTTTTATAGGATTTAAAGCGTCGGATAAGTCAAACAACAAAAAAAAAGATGAAAATTCTCCATTGCCAGAGAGCAATCACATATCTAGACCTGAAAGTCAGCCTCCAACTTCCGTATCAAACTCATCGTCAGTTAGTGAGTACAAAGCATCTTTTCGTTTACATATTTGGACCAATTTTTAAAAAACCACCTTCATAATTTAAAATTCTTTCGTGTTAACTATTACTCACTATTAAAGACAAGATTTATAATTGGGGGTAGGCGCATATTCAAATATGTATGTCATAATCTATAGAAAACATGGATTTCGAGGGAATTCGGCATATAATGCATTTATGAATATGAGCTCCTCATTCCAGGTGAACAACACACACTTCATTGGGCTACACTATAAGCTTGTAGCTTTATCAAGCATCTTTTTACCTAGAAGTCCCCTCCCCCTAATAATCCACGAAAGCATCCAGGCACTGCACATGAAATAATGTTCTTAACTTGCGTAGTTATTCATTAAATACTTTTTTTGTGATTTCTGACGCGAGTTTAGACAGTGGTGATAATTATGGGGTAAACATGCATACGTATGTATTATATTCACAATTGCTGATCGAAATTTATTTGGTGATCTATTCGTTTTTGAAATCTTAAAGCATTTCAGCCATTGAGTTCTATAATAACTGGAGGGGCTAAGTGGACTGGGGCAAGGTTGACAAAAACATGGATGCCAAAGGACCAAAGATATATTAAACATAGATTGCTGACGTATGTACATGTTATATGTGCGCGCTTGGGGCCATCATGAGTATCCAATATGGCGGCGTCAACAGGGCAAAAGATATATAGATTGTATTATTGTTTACGAAAATGCGTTTTTTTGCAGTTCTTGTCAATGTATTGTTTCGAAATTTATTCAATCAAAGTTTATATAAAAAAGGGACATACAGCAATTATTTTGAGCATATATTTGAGTGAATTCAATAAAAACTCGCAAAATTATCCACCGATAACAGTTTGTGTTAAATAGTCACTTGGTCAATAGCAAGTTGAATAGCCACACGCCTTTTTCGTAACGACAAAAATCGCCAATTATTTCTACATGAACTCTGTCCTCTTCACCCTTCTTTAAATTATACGTCTGAACAGGAATCAAATTGTCAGTTAGCGTTTTTGGATGTTCTTGTCCATAAACGAAATGGTCAATTCCTTACAAGCATTCGTCGCAAGGCAACTTTTACGGGTTTGTACACACACGCTTTGACTCTTTTTCTTCACACAGAGAAAAGATTTCTTTAGTAAAGTGTTTAATAAAGCAAACGCTTAGACTGTCATCAGAGGAGTTCATTTAGGGTGATCTCAACTGATTGAAGAAGATATTTCTCTCAAATGGATATCCGGAAAAAGATGTTGATTAACTTTTCTCATCCACATAAAATGAGCAGAACAGGCCTTTTGAAACCAGCTAAGTGCCCTGTGTTTATCAAACTTCCATGGATGGGTAAGGCTTCTGATGATATTGAGAGAGAAACTAAGAATATTATGGAAAATTTGTTTTTTGCGAGCACTGTTATCTTTATATTTTTGAAAAGAACTATTCTACCACCCACCCCAAAAGAATCTCTACCGGCATAACTTTTAAGCAATGTAATTTATGAATATAAATGTGAGTGTGATGCTCGCTATGTAGGTAGAACGTCTCAAAGGCTGGGAGATAGGATCAAACAGCATGTACCAGCTTCAATCAGAAATGGAACGGTCCCCTCAAGGCAACAACCAAAACGTGATTGTAAGAAAAGTAATTTAGTTTCATGTGACTCCGCGATAGGTAAACAACTCTTGAGTAACTTCCATTGTGCTGATTCTTATTCAGACGACAATTTTAGAATCATTAAGAAATGCCGTTCATTCTTTCAGTTACTCGTCATGGAGGCTGTTTTAATTAAGTTGACCAATCCCGTCCTCTGCCGACAAAAGTATTATGCTTTTAATTTATCCCTGTTTTGAGCGACATCTCCCCTTTTGGAGATGACGCACACTCTTTCTTGGTATTCTAAATATCGGTAGATTGTAAATTTTCATTTAGCAGACGTTGACACCTGAGGAGTAGTCTGCCGAAATGCATCGTGTCGTTTAATTTAGAACTATTGGGTTAGTGCTCTTTACTAAAAACAGTTCTTTTAAGAACTATCAACTTATTATATTACTTTTACCATTCACTATGGTATTTGCTATCTTGAGAACTATTTTCAGATTTGTCACCACAACATAGTCTCTATTTTATTAAATAATATTTAATGAAATGTCTATGGTTTCGGATAAGGGGATATTAGTGAAAAGACTTTGGACATCAAAAGAAACGAAGTAGTTGCTGTTGTGGTTTTGGGTGTGTAGTTCGTTAACAAAAGTAAAAAAGTCTGATATAGTGTAATCGTTGGGTATGACAGAGTTACGTAGAGTGCATAAGTACATGTAGAGATTATAGTTATAAGAGTTGGTGGACGAGACTATAGGTCGAATGGGAGGGGAATTATGGTTTTCTCTATGTTTATGAAGTTTTTGGAGACCATAAAAGCGAGCTGGTTGTGAGCCTCTAGGGAATACTGAAGAGTATATTTGGTCGTCGATGGACCCCCTTTTTTTTAAGATTTTGAAGAAAGCGTTGTAGTCTGCCTTCTCTGAGTAGAGTGGGGTCATTATCTAATGGTTTAAATTTATATTTGTTGTTAAATATATTTAACCATGCATTATTATATACCTTTCTATCCATAATAAGTATGCCGAAACATGTTTGCTCTAAAGAAATTTGTCGTGTATTTTAAATGTTTTATGACTATTGTGCTCTTACGAAATTATGAACGTGAACTATTTGATAAGCACTTCAATAAAGCTCTAATCAATAAAATGTGAATATAAGGAAATTTCAATAAGTTTACTTTACTTATGTTTTAAAATGCTGTGACCATATAGAATCTTAAGTATATATTCGTCAAACTTTTCACCAGGAAATAATATTTCACATTTGACCAATGCAACAGATTTTACAATAAACACGAGACAAACCCACAGGATTATACTCTTATAAATGTCTACTCCATGATGGATGATTCCTCTACAAGTATGGAGTGCAATTGCTACGATTCATTCCATCACTACACCTCAGCCGCCCTTAGAATGTTTGCTCTAATATATAAAACTGGCAATAAAACGCAGCAATTGACCAAGTGACCATTTTAAGAAAACTGTTATCGGTGGATAATTTCGCGAGTTTTTATTGAATTCACTCAAATATATGCTCAAAATAATCGCTGTATGTCCCTTTTTCATATAAACTTTGATTGGATAAATTTCGAAACAATACATTGACAAGAACTGCAAAAAACCTCATTTTCGTAATACCATCTATATATCTTTTGCCATGAGCGTACGAGCCTCCTCTTGTTTGGGCCCTCCACCACACTTCTTTGCCCGAATGCTGTGTGTCCATAGAAAATGAAGTAAATAAAAAGGATAGACTTGTTTGAGATTTAGGTATAAAAAGAAGTAATGATACACAACAGACTGGAAAGTTGGTATTGCGCACCCCGAAATCTCAGGTGCGCAATTTTTGCTAAGAGCGCGCGTAAATTTTGAGAAAAATACGATATTTTAACAAAAATATAGCAATTTTTGCTAAAAGCGCGCGTATGCGCGCAAAGTTTTGAAAAAATACGTTTTTTAACGACAATTTAGTGCAAATTTGCTATTGATCTCAGGTGCGCAGCTTACAAACTTTCCAGTCGGCACAGGGTAGATAATAAGAATATCAAATGTGCAGGAGAATATGCAATTTTCTTAGAATACCGGCCGTTTTAGCACAGGTAACGTCTAGCAGCTTAACTTAAAATCAAACAAGGCATGTACATAGTATTCAATCGTGTTTCCTGGTCGGATTGGTTGGTGTGGCCATTCATAATCATGTATATTGGAAAATCAGAAAAAAATATGATCTTCGGTTATCCGATTCCTAAAAATGTCAATGATTTTCTCAAATAATTGCATGTTGTGATCAGAGACAATAAATATACAAAATAATCAGTACACTTATTAGTAGCTCTATAGCATGGAAAGGCATGGAAAGAAATAAATCAATATGATAAGTTGTTTTGACAGATGCTAAGTACCTTAAAGGTACTGTTAACTACCCAAAACCCAGTAATATTTCGTCTTTATGCTACATAATCATCAAAAAGCAAGATAAATATCAACACCGCATTGAAATTATATTATTATCCAAGCTTGTACGCGTTTCAACTTTTACGTTTCAACTCTTCCATATAATTTGATTTAATTTACGTCGTTTAGCCTTTTATTAATTGCCCGAACGACACATAGTGTTAAGCCCAAATGCCCGAATGGCTCAACTTGGAAGGGAGGGGCTGTACGCCCATGTCTTCTGCCCAGTGCACACCGCCATATTGGATTTGGACCGAAAACTATGGTCATTATCGGTAAATCTCCCCGGAAATAGGTCCATTCCACCATTTTTTCGACAACCTCCGATATCTAAAGCTGCGCTTGAGATAGCTGCTCCAGTTATTATAGAACTCAATGATTTCAGCGAGGAAATATGCAAAATAATAAAATGATTTGGTTAATTGAAAAAATGATGTATCCAAGTTTTTCTTTCCTGGTAAATATTAGCTCAAAATTATCGAAAAAAGCATTTTAAAATCTTGATGAGAGTAGTTGTATGCGCCTTAAAAAATTTGCAATTTGTTAATTGAGGCTTGTTTTCAGAATATCTGTTAAGTCAACATTCACCTATAAGATAAATATTTTCATTAAAATTTTTTTTAAGATTATTGTATTTTTGTTTTTGTTTAACGCGTATAACAACAAAAAGCCATTTCCACTACCCTTGTTTATGGTGTAAAATTGATTTTAAAACTGTTTATTCATGGTTTATGAAGTACTCCATGAAATCCCTTATTTTAAGCTCGTAGAAAGTCGAACTGTGTTAAAGAAGTTGAAAGATTGAAAAAAAATAGAGAAGAAAGAAGGTGATGTTGTCAGCAAATTGTTTTTGTTCTGAAACTTGTAAGTCCATTTAAATATGTTTATTTTGAATCGAAAGTGAGGTTTTGCTTATTCTCTGTTGAGAGCTGTTTCTTTCCCTCTAATCCAGAAAATAATCTTTTGAAGAAATGGACTAGTTATTTTTTCTCAGTTAAGGGTCCCTTTATGATAGATACATCTTGCATAGCTAACACCAATTTTTAATGAACTGTTTTTGTTAATTTTTCATCCTTATTTACTTGACAGTGTTTTGATTAAATAAAATAAATGCTATAGCATTATAAATTTTAAATATAACATAGCGACATTCTTATTTTAAACGATTTTCCGTCTATGTTATTATGTTTCTAATTGCTGTTTTATGAGTTATTGATGTGCGCATGCTTCAACTATATATTTATCTCCTAGAGCCCAACAACAGGAACAGCGGGTGTTGCGTGAAAAGATTCAACAGGAAATAGATCCTGGAAATCCATACTGGGAGTTAATTAAAATGATAAGGTAAAAGATAAATTTAGAAAAATATTTACGTCATCATTTTTTTCCATTGCCTCATACTGAACATGAGGAAAATACATTTTTATGTACGTAAAGTGGTATATTCATTCGCTTTGTTAGGCGTGGTTAAACTTACATGTATTTTTCGACAAATACCAATGTAAGGTTCATGCAGTGTTAAGCAAAATATAGTATAAAAATACTGTTATGCATTCTAAAAAGTTAAGTATTTCGAATCAAACTGCTATTAACTTGTTTTGAATCATGTTTTTAATCATAACTTTTACCATGAATTAGCTGTTATTTAGTATTGCTTAGCGCTTATATCTCTGAAATTTTAGTTGAGCAATGAATTATTTTACATTCCTTTTATAGAGAATATCAAAATAGCATAAACATGCAGAGGGTGACGATGAATGATCCTGTAAGTATGTTTTGACACTCTTTCCCAATTTTTTTGGTTCTGGTGTTTTGAAGTATTATCTCTGTGTTTTTTATCTGCATCTTTTCAGCAATTATCACACTCACATTCTTTCAATAAACATTTTTTGTTTGCTATCGTACAATAAGACTGCTAACAAGTTTACTTTTTTTAACAACTTATAAGGTAAAGTCACAACACCTATATATAAACGTTGAAGCCGTAACGTTTTTTTTAATTTGCGTTTTGAGTTTAGGTGACATCAAAATAATTGAATCGAGTGATGTGTTTTTTTTTGTCATAGCGACGTATTTTTGTCATATTTACCAGCTCAAAACTTTTTCTATGATTGTCGAGACTCGAGATGCATAAATTAGGAATTTGACATTTTGGTGCTAATGAAACAAAAGTTTTCATGTGTTTGTAACATAACATTTAAAATGAAAGTAGTCTGTCTTAAACAGTTAAAAAACCTGCTCAGAATCTGAAGGATATATGAAATTTTGTGACAACTATAACTATGCTTTGGAACCTTACTTGTTGGGAAACCTCAACTGTCATTTTGAGTGGGTTTTCCGTATGATTTGAATGTCATTTTTTTTTCATTACCACTTTTTTTTCATTGCAATTCGCGGTAGAAAGGTTATTTCTCATTTGTATATGAAATCTATATTTAGGTTTGTGATCATCAGATTTGTGTTTGTGTTCGAAAAAGGCCTCTTAGCAAAAAAGGTAAGTTAGCTTAAAAAAACATCTAGATTATCATCATTCATATAATAGAACATGAATATATGTGTATGTTGGAGCTCTATGCGATAGGATAAGATGCGCGGAATTCAACAACATTCGAAAAGAACGTAGTTCATATATGATATATAGTTTATGCATCTGGTTGTCTAGTTCAAGTAATTTAGCTACGTTATAGAATAAGATCTGCAGCCACAAATGTTTTGGAAATTTCTTTGTAATCGAGTTTGTTGTTTATTTATGATATTTTCACGATTTTTGTCTTCTTAAGAGCTGGGCAAGAAGGAAGTTGACGTTATAACTATACCTGATAAAGAAAATACAGTGGTAAGTTCCCTGTACAACAAGTTTCTAGAACTAACCTGCGCTATTTGTTTGCAGCAATCTGGAACAATAGCTACTGTAAAAATATTAAAAAAAAAACATACGAACGTGCCTTGGTATTTTTATAAAGTTCATATTTATGGAATCTTGATGTTCACGTTTGGTTTTGTAGGTTCATGAGCCAAAAACTAAAGTGGACCTGACGAAATATCTTGATAACCACAAATTTAGGCAAGTGTTGTTTGCCAAGATATTATTTGCTTTTTTATTTTTATGTCTACTGTAGCATTTTAACTTGCGATTTCTATACGTGAAATGGCAAAGTGCCCCTCGTTTCTTTTTTAAAATAAATAATTGATGCAATAATTTTAGATGCCCAAAGCCTAGTTTTCAATGCGTCCCCTTGATTTTTTTATATGCCATCGTTTCTAATGGATGTTAAATTTTTGTTAAAAGCCAACTTTGGTCATTGTAATTCAATGTATAAATTTAGAGAATTAGCATTTATTCTGCACTAACTATTTTTTTATTCAAAAGAAATGTTTTCTTTTATGAATTTCTTCTAGGTTTGATTATTCCTTTGACGAAACAGCTACAAATGAACTTGTCTACCGGTAGGTATTCTATGTATTGAATGAATAAATTATACAGAAACGTTCACAGCATTCTGTTTTGCAAAATACGTAAACACTATTAGTTATTGAATTGGCCATATATTTCATGATTAAATGGCGTCACGATATGTATGATTGTAAACTGTTGTTGACCCCCTTGTCTATTTATCAATCGTGCAATGCTTCACGACATTTATGACTGTCCAGAAGAAGTAGCATTTAAAGTTGCAGATCCTAAATGGTATTTCCCCAGCTCTCATGATTGCTTCACGAACGCAGAAGTACAAAATGATATAAATAGATATAATACTTAAGTTTTTATTTAAAGTTTTTTGCTAGTTTGATCGATCGATTTCATGATCGATCTATTTCTTTTGGAAATACCATTGAAATGGAAATTTATAAATTAAAGCGAATTAGATCAACTATAAAATGATGTTACCAATGTTTATTGTTATGTTTTGCACGGCGTTTTCTCAGTACCAGTGAATTATATTTATAGAAGTAATTTCACGCTTGTAATTTTTCAGGTACACGGCGAGACCTCTCATAGAAACGATATTCAACCAAGGCATGGCGACTTGTTTTGCTTATGGTCAAACTGGCAGCGGCAAAACATACGTAGGTTCTTCGCAGTCTTTTTTACTTCTACGTAATTTACGTCTCTTCTAATCCAGTATTTTATTCAGTTTTTTTTCAATTGGATGTAATTCCGTTTTCCCTCTTTTCAGTTTTTCATTTGATGTATAATGCATGTGCCCCATTCACGCGTATCCGGATGTATTTGTATCCGTAAAATTTTTGTTGCGGGTCAGGTTACGAATAAAAATGATTTTGCGTCCACACGTAGCTTGATATTATCCAGATTTATAGTCCGTTGCCTAAGGCCTCAAAACATTTACTTTCGCGCTGTCAGTTTCCCGCACATATTTTGAAACTGTTGCAAATTTACGGTAAATTGGTTAGCAATTTCGAATTCGGTCGGTGTGTGCAAACGTTTTTCGGCTTTGTTTGAATAAATATATCACAATTGGGACAGAAATCGAGAAGAACAAGACGGACCCCTTCATTTGGAATGGTGATGAGATTGAACTCTAACTGAAAGTCACACTAGAATACAAAACTTCGAACGCTGTGGAGAATTGATCCGAAACAAATATGACGACATTTTAACTTTTTCGAGACGGACTTTCGCAAACTCATTTCGTTTGGTGATTCGTGCAGCACGGCTGATCGGTCTCAAAAGTGTTAAACGCGCTAGAATAGTTGCTAGGCAATCGTGGTTAAAAAATATACGTCCACACGCGTCCAAATGAAGTATTTGCCGGTTGCCAGTCTCCCTTAAATTTGCGCGGTTTTGCAATGCATTCTGGGATCGCCAGGGGGCAAACATTGTGTATCTTTATAAAGATATCTTTTCGTAAAAAGTTTATATTCAAATTATAATGGGAATAGTGATCACAGTGCTGTGTATGGCTGTGATAACGATAGGAGATATCCTGAAAAATATATCGTTTCCGATCACGTTGGTATTCTTCGCTTTTTGTCTCCGAAAAACGAAAGACAAGAGTGCTTGGCAAAAGCTGATCAACAGGAAAAACTTCAAAGTCACTACTAATACGAAGGTTTGTTCTAATCATTTTCTTGCTGGTTATCGATCCGAAGGCTTTCTCAATCCAACTTTGTATCTGAAAGGATACCAATCAAAAGAAACCAGTAAACGATTACCGCCGAAAATCAAATATTCCGAAAATAAAGAGATGAAAAATTCTCTGTGAAGGCAGCACTGAAAACGCTTTGAGCATAAGGATAAGGCATTTTTTGCTGCTGAAATCACTGCTCCTGCGCAGTGTACAGAGCCAGAGTCTGTGCACCAGGACAGTCCACAAATAAATTGTACAACAGACTTGGATGTTACAAGTTATGATTCTGATGATAGCTACAGCTTTGAAAGTGATAAACATGACCTCAATGACTGTTATTGCATTGAAAAGAAACGTACTTATTCAACAAGTTATTTGCCAGATACCTAAGATACCTGGTAGCCTGAAAATATCATGGAGCAGCTATAAGTCACCAACTCTGGTCTCATAAACTTGCTATAAAAAGGTGATGGTGTCATGGCTGATAAGAGATTCCTTGTTAGAGATCTACTTGTGGTGAAGAAAGTTCACCTTATTTCTCCTGCCTATTGTTGTAGAACAACTCATACTCGGCGTATGGCATCAATTAAGATCTCATGTCGAAAGGAATATAATGAAACTAAAGCAATTTCAGATTTTATCAGGAGTTATTCCATTTACATTAAAACCAGTTTTGGACCACATTTTGTTTCTGTGTACATATGTAATTTAGGAAAGTGTGGTATAAAGTAATCCTCACACAATCTAAAATAAATTATACTTAATATTTTTATTTTGAAAAGCTATTATTTGTAAATATAAAATTTTATCATTGCACATATTTCAATAAAAGATTACTAATAATATAATTCTTATAGAAAAGAAACACACTTTTAAATACATCACTCCAGAAGTCAGCATCAAATGGTATTTGTACTATATCAATTCCTTTTTTTGTAAATACAATAAAATCACATTTGTCGATTTGGCTTATAGCCATTTGGACTTGAAAGTAATATAAATGGTTCCTGTTCAACACTTTCTTTCCACTATCATTAGTTTTCCCACAAATAGCTGCTGAGAAAAATGCAGATTTGGGATGCATATTCTTGGATGTTAGAGGGCACTTAATTTCAAGTATCCTTGAACCACAGCATTCACATTGACATATTCCATACAAACTCACTCTCACTTTTGGGTTTGGATTTGCAGGATAATGTTTTAGGTTTTGATGGACAAGGTACAGTTCTAGATTTGAGTGGAGGTGATTGGTCATTAGAAAGAGATGGTTCTTCCTTAAGTTCAAGATAAACCAACACTGTTGGTTGGTATTCATTGGCAGGTATTGGGGCGAGACAACAACTATTGATAGGTTGCAAAAGATTGAAATGGGAAGCAGCTCTGTGAAAGATATGCAAGATCAAAGTGATTGGACCATCACAAATTCGATCATATTATAACAATGGACGTAACACCAGGCGAGGAGTGAAATAAAACCATTTCTGCTCAAGCACAGCATAAACACAAATTTCATGCTGCAAAGCCGTGGCTCAAACGTACATATCCACTGTTTCTCACCACGAAGCGGACATAATGCTTCGCTCCAGATGCCTTTCCATCGATTCGTATCGAAATAAATACAGTCGAAAAGTAGCCGGATTTTGTATCAAAACATCGTTACACATTTCTCGAATGTGAGCTAAGTTTTCGTCGCTTTAAGCGTTTATAACCAACGCAACTGCTAGATAGAAGCAATTGCCGTCTCCACATACTTTTACTTCTTTTCTCCCAACTGGTAACGGATACCCATTACAACGAAGAGCCATTATAATGGAAATAGGTGCTTTAAATTGAGAATTTTCGAAAATATCACCATTACAGATATATTTGTAAAAAATGTTTGCCCCCTGGCGATCCCAGAATGCATTGCAAAAACCGCGCAAATTTAAGGGAGACTGGCAACCGGCAAATACTTCATTGTTTGCGGATACCAAAATTTTCACTCCAGAGAGCGTATTTATAAGTTTCCGGATAACCCGCTAAAATGTTCGGATGCGTGCGAACGAAATTTTTTGTTGCGGATACGAGATTATCTGTATACTTGTGGACCGGGGCTAATCAATCATACTTCTTAAAGTTAACAGACATACCATGCAGTTATCAATAACATTTAATTATGTCAGCTTGAGTTACAAAACAAATTTTATGTTTTTGCAGACTATGGGTGGAAATATGATAAACAAGAACCAGGAAATTACTAAAGGCATTTATGCTTTAGCAGGCATGTATTTGTTATGTTAAAAATTCTGCGAGCAGACAGTCTTTATGTCAACTTCGAAATTTTTTCAAGTCCTGAAATTTCCTCGAATCACGAAGGCTTAATGATTTAACATTATAAAATAACACAAGCAAAACGTGTGCTGTGATTGGTTGATGTCTGTGTTTGGATCACGCTATCCAAACACGGAAATTGAAATTGCTGTCGTCAGCACGGTCGTCAGTATGTTATCGTAGGATTTTCTATGTGTTTAAAGGAATTTTTAAGGAAATGATGTTTTTGAGAATTTTTTAAGCAATTTTGAACATTCGAACAATTTTGCCTTAAACTTAAAACGATTTCAGAGGACAAGTAACTTGCCGCACAAAGGCGATGTAGACTTAAAAGTAGCAATATTTTACACACATAAGTATATAAAGTTTCTTGCTCTACATGTTGTTCACATGTTAAGTGTGAGTAAAATAAGCTGTTTCGTCTAAATACAACTGAATTTCTAAACTCATGCAGCAAATGTTTAAAAATGTATCAAATGAAATCAAAGCAAGCGATTGACATAATTTGCTGCCCAAAGACCAAACACTTTTACTCAAAACATATATATAGTATATAAAAAATCCAAGCATGTTTCTTTCTAGCTTCATTTCTCTTTTATGATAAAATCGTGTGCTTCTTTGGATCAGTGAATTAATTCACTTCAAAACTACATAAGTTATGTTGAATTTTTTGAGGGTTTGTGCTCATAAACATGAAAAATGTTGAAAAAATGAAAAAAGCATGGTTTCAAGTGTTTAGATGGCCTGTTCAAAACACTTGGCAATGTTGCTCGAGTTAAGAAAAGCGGTGCAAACCTCTCGCCTTTGGCTCGTATTTCTCGTTACTTATCTTAACTCTCGCTTAAAAGAACAAGCGCAGAATCAAATTATTTGATGTGATCTGGCATTTTTAAGTAAAAGTTGGCAACAGTTGATTGATATGTAATTTGACTTGCTAAGTGCGAATATGCATGTCGCCAGAGCTAATTTAGCGTTTTTCATACGGAAAACGATGTTACAACATGAAAATGACGTCAAAATGAGATAATACTACACAACAAATATGATTCGAAGCATTATTTAAGTCAAAAATGTCATTTTTGTTGTTTTGAGTACACAGATAGCCAATTCTAATTTTATTTTTATACACTAGCAACAGAAAAATATCAGTAAACGGCTTATGATCTCTTTCTATTTGAATGACAATCGACCGTACTTATTATACACAATCAGTTTTGTCTAATACTGAAATTTAACGCTTTAAATAGCCATTGACGAACGCTCTGTCACAGTTTAAATGCTGGAAACAACATGAAAATAAATCAGCAACAAGACAATTAGTGTATATGAGATTATCATATACGATAATATATATGAGAAATTGGAAACTTTATCTGTTCTCAACTATTTAGCTTGTGGACTTGTTTTTGCAACAGCTGCTTTCATTGTCGTGTAATGAGCAGCTGCAGACACTGGTAGAGAATAGTTTGGCCCTTTTACAGCCACAGCGAAGAGTTGTGCATCCGCTTTTGCAGGAACAGGGTATGATTTCTTTGCAAGCCTTCGGAATGGGATGTAATGTCATAAGACGTGGAACCAGGTGCTTACCATCAACTTTCATCCAACCCATTTCATCTGGACTTTGTAAGATGGGATACTGACAGAAGGCTTGTTTCCACACCAGTTTTTGATAGTAAGAGCGCTTTATATGCAGTTCTAACGCATCCGTCGTTGGAGGTAGAGCTTGCGGGTTTTTATACTTAGGAAACAAAAGAATTCGGACCTGATTAACAAATTCAACATCTTAGTGCTTGTACATAGCACACACAAACTTCTCGGCATCTTTTATCTTGGTATCAGTTAAATTTCTCTCACCGAGGGACGATATAAGATTGTAGTTCTTCAGGAAAGTTTTCCATGCAGTTGTTTTGCTTTGATTGCATAAGAATGAAGTTGTATCACAATTTCAAATGTAATAAGTTGTAAATTTTTGCTGATGGCTTTGATATTATAAAACTTCCTATGAGCCGATGAGTCGATCGGATGGCCCCCTTTCATATGATTTTACACATTCTATTATGTCCCCAACAATTCGCATTAGTTTATCTTTAAATGTTTCTCTTCTACTTACAAAAGAGGTAGGAATTTTCACACCTGCTTTCTCTGCAAGAAACGTATACCTGCTCCAAGCATCACTCATTTTTATGACATGTCCTTTTTCTGCAGCATTCTCCAACTCTTGACAAAGGCAAACCATTGCCAAATCAGTGTCCTTTGCTGCTTTTCTTGCGTTTTCAACAGATCTCTTAAATCTGCTAAAACATGCTAAATGGTACTTTGCCTCAGATGTTATTGAATCAGACACATCTGCTAGTCTAATTCCTAGTTTATAGTTATATCTTGCAATATCATAGATTTGATCATTCATGCCGCATGTCATAACAGACGATAATCGTTCTTTTGATGTTTGATTCTCACAAAAAACACACAGCTCCCAGTTAGTTTTATCAACGTGACTTCGTGTTTTACATGGGCTAGAAAATGGGGCTCCATTGATTTGCCAATTTCAACAAACTTCTTCTGCAAACGATCTACCTTTTGTTTATTGGTAAAAAGCGAGTCGCATTCAGGATGCAAAACAATTGAATTTGCACCATCTTTAGTTTCGATAAAGCATTCCAGTCGACTATTCGTGTCAATATTATCAACATCTCTAAGTTTACTCCGCATTTTCTTAGCTTCCTGAACAACGCTTCTGCTGTACGCCGTAGATTGACGTACATCGTCTTTAGTCGCGTTTCGCTTCTGGGAAAACACGCAGAGTTTCGAATCGAATTCAAAAGCTCGTTTTGAGTTAATGACTGGCTCCATATTCCATGAAAAGATAAGCTTATATATGGGTATTTGCTTTGAAAAATACGACCAAGTGCAGTCTAGACAGTAAAATCAAACAAGACAACGTCGCAAGAATAAGAGACAAGAAGCAGACATACTGTCTACAAGTCTAGACTGCTACAGTTGCAAAACAAAAACTATTATAAAATTCAAAATGAAATGTTAATGAAATTTTTGTAAAGTATAAGGAAAATATCTATATTTTCATTTTTATATGAAGATATTTAAATGTGATATTTTCACTGGTAAAATAATATTTTTGTCAAAACAATAGAACATATTGTAGTGTGCCGTCATTTATATGTCAGAAATATTATTGCCTTAAATATACCCCTTAAAACGCAAAATCAGAGTTGGCGACAGACAAATTCTGTTTTAGCACCTTGAATTACATAAGAATCCACCTCTTGCCAACTAAAAAAGGCCAACTTTTTCTAAATTTCGCCTGGTCTATTATAACCGTTTATTAAATGTTTAGTAATATACTTGAAAAAATTTATAAATTCTGATTGGTTAAGGGTATTGCAATTTTTCCTAATTAGCTACAAGTGCAACAACGCGAAACACCGGTCCAAAAAAGCGAAACAGTGCAAATTTCGCTTCAAAACTGCTCTTGATTGGTTAGTCAGACAAAAAAGTAATATAAGAGCCAATCAAAATAAAACATTTCAAAGGCGGGAAAGTTACATTATTGTAAACAAAGCATTACAATGGCTGGCGTAAGTTTTAAGTAGATTTTCTTTGGCGACCGATTCAACAATTCATCGTTTGCAAGACGTTTCTGAACAAAAATACAAACACTGCTAAAAGTAGATACCTTGTTCTAGCAGCAAGTGTGGAAACTATGGTGTTATGAAAGAAAGCAAGCTTTGTTTCAGGTCAAATAATGCCATGTAGCTAATAAACCTTTTACTGACCTCGCTTTCTCGGTTTTAACTGAGAAATATCTGACCTCTGTGTTTTTGTACAAACCTCGCCCTACGGGCTCGGTCTGTACAACAAACTTCGGTTCGATATTTCTCCGTAAAGACCTCGCGCTCGGTTGTTAATGGCTTATTATATGGCAAGCTTCACTTCCCACAAAATGGCGCGCTTTGATTGGCTCAGAAACATTTTTGCCGGTCCATTATTTTCCCGTAATCGACCACGGTCCAAAACACGCAATTTTACAGTAAAATGTAAACCAACTTCGCAAATCAAACAGCAAAACGCAAAATAAACAAAATAAAAAACATTTACGAATGTGACTCGAAGGAAAAACACTTGGAAAACAGTTTAACTATCCAGACGATGCAATTTGAAACGATTTATTTTTTATGAAGGAAAACTAGAAAAGTGAAATCCAACCGGTAAAAAACAGCAAGCACGAGAAAGAAAGCAAGCTTCGTTTGAGGTCAAATAATGCCATGTAATAAACGTTTTAATAACCTCGTTTTCTCGGTCTTTACTGAGAACTATCGACCTCTCTTTTTGTACAAACCTCGCCCTACGAGCTCGTGCTTTTCTGATGGTCTTCGAAGAACTCACTCGTGCATGTTTTTCCCAAATTTTCACTGGAAACCTATAAAAATTTTATACAAGAAAAGAATATAGGTGGAAAACGTTTATCTTTGTGTTCAGGGAAAATGTACTTGAACTAAATTATAAAGCTCTCTATTTGTAGCTCATGATGTTTTCAAGTACTTAAAGAATTCAAAGCATAAAAATAAGGATCTCGTAATATCATGCAGTTATTTTGAAATATATGGGGCTAAGGTATGGAAACGATTTACTGAACGTTCTTAAAATTTGAAGTTGTAGAAATAAACAACTTCTTTTATTTGCGTTTGCTATTATAACTTGCGAAATTGAAGTCAACTAATGACAAATTCGTCTTCCATTTTCCAAAAACGTTTCTGCTCTAGACAATTTTCCTGCTTTGTTTTCAGCGATGTTGTGTACATTTATTAACATGGAGAATTACATAAGTTCTAATTGTTTCTGTAAACTGCTGCACCACAATATATAGGCAAATGATTGGAAGTTTTGAATTTCCGTCAAAAGGTGCTATGAAGCTCGTGTTATTTTCCTATATTATGATGTTGAGACTCGCTCCAACCTCCTCAACTTCCCTCAGCTCTATTGATACTACTTAATAATAGATGTGTTTTTTTCATTTTGTCTGAATCATTAAAATTTGATTTTGCTGCAATACTTTGTAAGGTGAGGTATTTGTTGTTTTCTAGGTGTTTGACCTTCTGAACAAGAAACGAAAATTGAGAGTTCTAGAAGATGGCAACCAACAAGTTCAGGTAATGCAGGTGTAATTATATAATTACATGGGGCTTTTTTGCGAATTGTCATACATACAGATTGGATAAAAATACATATATGTTATTTACCGGCTTGGAGGTCCGTACGGAAAAAATATTTTCACGAGGTCTCAAAGGCGGCCGAAGGCCGAGGCCGAGGGATGCTTTGAGGCCGAGTGAAATATTTTTTAAGTATGGACCAACACTGTAAATAACATATTTATTTTTTTAAATTTTATTATGAAGAAATTCGCGTTGTAAAATGGCTGATGGCACGATGCAAATTGATGTTGAGACTAAAATTGGATTGTTTTCTTCAAACTTCGCTTCGTCTGGATAGTAAAAATTTATTCTTGCTATGATAACTTTTATCTGAACAATTTACATCGCTTTTAAATCAGTTTTAAAAATTTACATTCACTTCGTAAACAAGTGCATTGCGAAAAAAATATCACTTCTGTCCACGGGCAGATATCGTGAAAAGCTGCCCGCTCAGGCAGCCAATCAAATTGCTGAAAATCAAAAAATATCGCTTTGGACCGCTAAATAAAAAATAAAGAAAGTTGCAAAATGTTCAGAAAGCTATTACTTCATATTTGTTGCTAGTAGTTGAATATTTTTCAATATTTTGAACATTTTGCTGAATATTTTCAATTTTTTTAGAATTTTTTCCATGTATCTTTAAAAATCAGCTGCAAATTGTTTTTCAATACCTTGTTCATATAACTATAGATTTGTGAACTTCAAGAAAGTGTCGTTAATGCAGTCGAGGAAGTTTTAAAAGTGATTGAAATTGGAAATCGACTGAGGTTTGACGCTGTATTTAGTTTTTTGTTTGGTTCATTTGAAACTCGCTTTTTGAATGTTTTGTGACGCAATATTCAATATTGAAGGTTTGGCATTTGTTTGAGGTCAGGAGGCTGCATTGATTAAATCTTTGCTACATGCATACGTGCTGACATGTGACTTTCATATTCGTTGCCACAAAGGTTTTTTTGCGGTCCTTAAATCAAAAATTTTTCTCGCCCAAACTTATCATGCACTTTTAAAGTTCATATGCTAATGTGATTTTCTTGTTTTGTAGTTTGCTCAGATTTTATCTTCAAATATTGAACGCAATGATAAATGTTGCTTTTAAATAGTATAATACATGAATAATAATACGCGTGTAAAGTTTCTGCACATTTAGAGGTATTCAAAATTTTGATTTATGGAGGAATTTTCTGACGTTTTTCAGATCTTATATAGATAGTAAAACGAGTCAGATTTTTGCTTTAATTAATTTCCTTATATGCTTGGGTTGATTTACACACGTACGGTGTGAGAGAAGAAGGAATCAATTTCGTGATAAATGAAAACACTTGTTTTTTCCGTACTTGTTAGCTTGAGATATCTGATCAATTGATACTAAAATGATTGACTTTGTAATCTGCTAATTTCACTTCATTTACATTTTAGAACATCTGGTCAAACGTCAGCAAATCAGAACTCTTCAAGATCACATGCAGTATTTCAAATAATACTACGTCGAAGGTATAACATGTTTTGTTTGCTTTCCTTCTTTATAACTAATTGGCTTCACCATGCACAGTACTGGAAACAGTACTGGAACTACTAAACACTGATGTACACGTTTTGTGCACACATTGTTAAATGCTGATTTATATATCACGATATGAAGACAAAGGATTGTGATTTTAGTGGCTAAATATATATATATTCACGTTGCCATGAATTTGTGCGAAAAGTTTTGTGATTTGAGAAAACGACAGAAAACCAGAAAACCAAGATAAGCTTTTCACTTAAACGTGGACTGATAACGTGAAGATTTGTAACTTTGGAAAATGTTTAAAGCATCTGATTTTCAACAATAAAGTATTCAACCATAGATGTGTTAACTAGTCTTTATAATGCTGAGTTTTCATTTCACGAGCGTCAGCGATCCCATTGGCGTGGTCTCAAGGCAAACATATTAAAATTATTTTTCGAATCCTATATTATTAAAAAATACTGTAGTTGTTTGGCAAAAGTCTATTCTGATTGGCCGAATTGATAGTCAAATATCTTTTCGGAAAGGTAAGTCTTAGTACGTTCTTGTCGCTCTAATGGAAGTCATTCCTTTCTGAATAAACCATGAAAACGGAAGGAAAGCGTAATAATAGGAAGGAAGGGCAATAAGAATCGCGATAGTTTTGGTCTTACATGTTGTGATTTTTAAGCTCAAATTATGGTGTAACATGACCATGCAGTGCCTCTAAAGTACTTTTTTCACATATTATGCACAGAAATACTAGTTGGTGAAATACATGATTTAGTCCTTTTACTTTTTTTTAGATTTTTGCCTTTCAATTTATTTTTTAATTCATTTGTTAATTGCAAATTTTTTGTAATGTGACCAAATATATTTATTTTACGTTTACACCGTAATTTATTACGCATCATTGTAGAGGTGTTATGAAAAGTGGAGCAGGTGGTCAGCTGTATGGTAAATTTTCCTTAATTGACCTCGCAGGTGAGAAATAAGGGTGCATTGGTGATGCTAATTCAATCCTATATTTTAAAATTCAGTTAATATTTGTACATTTGTGTACATTAAAGTCTGTTTTACATATTCTCTTGAATTAAAGGAAACGAGAGAGGAGCAGATACGTCCAATGCAGACCGACAAACAAGACTGGAAGGCGCCGAAATCAATAAAAGTTTACTTGCTTTAAAGGTGCATTTTGTGTATTCATCAATGCGCTGTCTCGAAATCAGGGCAAAGATTTTGTATACAATGCATTTTTTCAAAAGTTATATGTCTTGAAATGGAATGCAGTTTTCATAAGAAAATTTACACAAGCTTTTAGCAAAGTATTCTGTATCATATAAATGTATTTTTTGCTCAAAAAACTGAAAAAATGGACTTGTTCCTGCAGAAGGCAGTTCACGACATTCTACTCTACCGTATGCAAATTTTTGGTCTGATTCCAAAAGAACAGTCTGCGATAAGAATTAAACCTGTCGTTCAATTCTTCCTATCTTTTGTTAAAGAACTGTAAAATCAAACAATTATTTTAATTAGCCTTGACTTCGTCCTTGTAGCCACTAATGCTGCGTTTTATGATATTTGGATGGAAAAATTTATAATTGTTTAGTAAATTGTGTACGATATTACTTTCTACACATGCATTGTCTTTTTGTATTTTATTTAATTAGGAATGTATTCGTGCACTTGGAAGACATGGGGCTCATTTGCCTTTTCGAGCAAGCAAATTAACGCAGGTGCTTTTAATGGATTGTCTATGTTTTTTTTCAAATATTTGCGAGACGGGGTTTTATTTGAATCAACTGGTTTACTATTTATTTACAAGTTTCAATTATTTTACCAAACAATTCTATTTAAGGTTCTTAAAGATTCGTTTATTGGTGACAACTCCAAAACATGCATGGTTGGTACTTATGAAGTATTGTGTAAACATGGCTGTATCCAGCTCAATAATTTGGGGGGAGGGGCATTATTCATATATCCATGTTTTGCCGTATTTAGTTCCTTTGAAATCAATTCCTTTCTGCAGATTAGAACAAATATAGCTATATAAATACTACCCTCCCCCCAATTATGGAGGCTAGCTACGCCACCTTGTCGAAATATAGCGATCTTGATAAATGAGAGATAAACCTTGACATGACCTCTTTGATCGTATGGTACGATCTGGGAATAAAGTGTGAGGCCACTTGTCCTTTTAATAAATATTAATCGTTGTAATGAATTGAAAAAATGAAACTTTTGCGAAGAAGCATTTTTGTCTGATGATTTCAGATTGCAACCATATCTCCCGGGATGAGTTGTTGCGAACACTCGCTTAACACGTTACGTTACGCTGATAGGTACGTGGTGCATTGAAACTTAGTGATTATCAAATCCTTGTTTTGTATGTTTTGGTCTTATCGAACTATGGACGTATAGTTGGAAGCAATTTTAAAAAAATGACCATCCAAGCTCTGAACTTTATATTTCATTTACGTATTTGAACAATTTAGTTTTGCAGACTGACTTGTTAGCGTTAAGTATCTAATTTTGTGTAGGTAATACTATCGTTTCTTTTACAATTTGGATAAAACATGCAGGAATGAGTTCAAATCACAGTCAAGAAAAATGCTCTTCTGTTAGTTTTTGCTTTTAAATTATCAATAATTTTTCAAACAAGATTGAAAACTGGAAAATTACACAAAAGTTTGTTGCAGTGTTTTAATTAAGAGGCGGTTGCCGCCTCCTATTTACCGCTGTATGGTTTACCGCTATATGGTTTACCGCTGCCTATTTTGCATCATACAGCCGCTTGTTTGCTTGTCAGTCTGAAATTAACAACGTGAAAAATTTGTAGTAAAAGGCAAATGAACTTCTGTATTATTTAATTTCTCTTAAAATTATGACAAATTTTTCTTCAGAAATATAGAATATGCAGCAATAAATTAACATACATACAATGAATCAATTCATAGGTAGAAGTTGGCCATCTACTTTTCGTTCTAGCTTACAAACACCTTAAAAACTTCATAATTTTGCTGTCATCTCTTTCTCTGTTAAATAGAGTGAAGGAATTGGGTCCTGATAATGGCAAAGAGAATGGTAGGGAATATATTGCTTTCGACGATGTCCCGGATGTTGTCTCGCCGACCCTGTCAAGAGGTGATCCTGCTTCGAATAATGCCGACCTTGCATTGTTGTGTACACATAGTGTAAGTTCATCGCGATATTGTCAGATACTTCAACATCAATGGATTATCATGCACCCTCAACAGTGACGTAGCCATCCTGAAAGTTTGGTCATACAATGCAAATTTCTGATCATTCGTGATATTGGAATTCAAAAGCCTATATGATGCGTTCTTGCTCTATAGCGTCAGCAATTCACGACCCAAAAAATTGATTGAAAATTTATATTAAGTTACAGATGTGCTATGGCTTCTGGAGCAAGCATATTATGATTGTCCAGAAGCCATAACACAGAAGACAGAAGACATTTTGAAAAATAGTTTTCAAAATGTCTTCTGTCAACTCGAAAAAAAAAACTGTCAAGAGCGTTTTTGTATCGAAAAACCAAAAGCTGTAGAGAAAAAGACAAAAATCAAGATTATTTTTCCAAAAAGAAACACGGCAATTTAGCATCAAATTTGCCCGTTCTTTAGGCATTTTTTACCCACACTGAAGTTCATTTTCTTTTGTTCTTTATTTTTTGAGGCAGTAGCAGCAATAAACATTAGCTACCTCTGTTGCTACAATAACAAGTTTTAATTTCGCTTTGCTATTGTTATTCGACATATTTGTTTTCTTTTTGGTGTTGAACTCGCATAAATACATCAGATGCATTATTTACAAACAGCGATTTGTCTTACACGACAAATTTTTCATACACAGCAAAAATCACGTAATATAGCGTGAGGTCAACCCGACAAATCGTTGTGTGTAAAGTACCTTTATGCCATTGAGTCCAGGGGCGTCCGAAGCGTGAAGGGCAAGGGGGAATAAGCCCCCCTCCCCACTTGTCTTAGAAGGGGGGGTACTGTCCCCCCCACTTTGCATTAAAATAGCTAAATTACTAAGAAAAAATGTTTACTACCAGTCTATTTTAAGTATAAATTATATGTATGTACAATGTAGCTGAGTAAACTTCTAGAGAAACACGCAGGAAACTTTTGCAATTCTTGCATTTCATTAGTTTATTACATGTGTGATTGAGCGACGGGTGTTGTTAAAATTCAAAGTGGTGTTTACCTAGCAACATTTTGTACATCGGTACTCAAAATTTCTAAAATATCCCGCGTCCCTTCCCCACGGCATTTAAAGTATAAGGTGTCTTTGCTCGTTTATTTCCACGAAGCTCAAATTATCGCTAAGTAAAAAGGAGAGTACACCTTCCATCCATCTTTTGTTTTACTTTTTGTCCTAATTTATCGTTATGCACTGCCCTGTGCCTGTTTTATAATTGTAGCATACTAATTTGGAGAAAAATTTGTATTCACTGCTATGAAAGTCATTATTTTTACCGTGAATAAGCTTAGAATTATGTCCATACTTTCATTGTAAATTATGCTGGACTTCACAAAGTTGAAAGAAAGCAAGGTCTTGCTTTAAATTGGATGTATCATAATGTAAAAAGTCACCCCTGCACTTGCATGTGATAAATGGAACTTTTTGTCATTTCATTATTTAGGGTTCTGGTGAAATGGATCACAATGAATTGTACACTTTTCACGAAGCCGTTAATCAACTCCAGGATGCCGAAGAACAACTTGTTGAATGTCATAAGAACAGCGTTAAGGTGAGAAAAAGGAATTCGTCATTTGGTCTGCATGTTAATTTGCAAAGCTTTAATCAATTTAAATGGACTATTGGCAAGCTACTTAAAAACTGAAGGTAGTGTTTTCGACTTATATGTTTAGAAGTCCAATTAAAGAATGTTATAGGGTATGTTTTGCGGATGCGACATTATTAAATTTTTTGTTTGAAATTGAAACTATTATGGTACTTCATGAGGGTAGCGTTGAGAAATATAAGATATTTTTCATTTGAGAACACATCGATTATAACCCATAATAAATTCAAAAAATCAGAAATATGATAGACCATAGAAACTCAAGAAATTATACGAGGTTGCATCAGTCATTTTTTGTGTTGTTTTAATGTAAAAAAATGCTTATTGTATTTGAAATAGGCTACATTGTTTAAGCCAATGCAAATATAAAAATGGCTTTTATTTAGGAATCTTAAACATGCGTATTTATTACAGGAAACTAAAGCACTTTTACAACAAGAGGAATCACTGTTGGATAAAGTTGATGATGTGGATTCTGATTTAGAACGTATGTAATTCATATCTAAACTTAACGAAAATTATATTTAAACGTACTTAATTTTTTAATAGTGTTGTTTACCCGCATTTGATGATTCTTTTTTCAGTAATACTAATGGCACGTTGAGGGGCTTGGGAACTAGTTAATATACAGAGTGCAAAATATTGGAACAATCGAACACTTAATAGGGTTAAGGGAGTTTCAGGAAATTTGGCTGAGGGGTGTTCGAACTCTCAGCTTCGAAATCTCGAGTTGTTTTGGATTTTTTGTTTTTAATCCTCACGATTATACGTAAATTTGAGATTAAATTAATGCTATTATGAATAATTGATTAAGTTATTTTAAAAACGGTATTTAAAAACAACAAAAAAATAATCTGCAATTTGGGTGCCCAGCATACGCGTGTGCATCGGTCAAATGTCCTGAAAACATGTTAGCTTGAAGAGCATGCGTCATGTTTTATCAACCTTAGTTTAGTCATTTTTGTGCCTAAATTATGTCGAAATTGCTTCTCAAAAACAAGATTCTCATCGTAAAAATGTTCATTATTTACAACATTTTTCCTGTCAGATGAACCATTAGAAGCCCAACTACCTATTTCCAACAAAAGTTTTAGCAAATCTTGCGCACTGCTAAATTTTGGGACATTTTCCTAACTTTTCAGTTAATTTAGCCACCTTGTCTTTTCCTCAGCTCAATTGTGGATTGTGAGTACTCGGTCATACCCCCCATTAAACCACGGTATAGTGCAATTGTTACAGGGACCGGTTGCACGAAGCCTGGATAGCGCTATCCACTGGATAGCAATTTTTTAAACTTTTATAAAACCTTTAAAAAGCAAAAAATATAACATTCCAAATGAGCAATTAATAAATTAAAATATTGTTTCGAAGATTACGAAATGTCTTTGTCGTAAGAAAAATATAAACACCTTTTATACAAGTTTGAAAATTTTTGCTATCCAATGGATAACGCTATCCAGGCTTTGAGAAACCGGCCCCAGGTGTTTAGACTTCCACTTAGTTTGATTATGTCCATATATATCATTAGCGCATGCATAAAATACACCTTTGTGTCTCATGCAGCACGGTGGAAATATCTGTGCAGTTACCTGTTTTGGCTAAAAAAATGTTATTTCCCTTAGAATACGTACAACGACTTGATGGTATATTGAAACAGAAAATCGAGAACTTCACTAGCCTTCGGGGTAAGTGCAAAGTCATGCTGTTCTCGTTTGCGGTTCACATCATGCAAAATTAACTTTTCGCAAAAAATTGAAAATTGCAATGCAAGTCTTCTCAAAATATATCTCTGTTTGTTCCGCTTTTTTATTTCTCTCACAGTCACGTTTTTGCCTCCTGTTCTATTTTATCTTTTTCCTTTACTTTTGAATATGTGAATTTTATTTCTCGTGTTAGAGCGTGTCCAACAGTTCAAAAGCCGACTCGAGCAAGAAGAAAAAGCCAGTAAAAATATACAGAGGTTACCATTTGTGTAAGATTTTGAGCATCGTAATTTGTTAAGCATAAAGACAGAAATATCTACAAATATTTAATTATTTACGTATATTACGAATAATATATTTAGCTACAGCATGTAAAGAGAGATGTAAAAATAACACAGATTTCTTTACCAAAATTGTCAATATTGTTCATACTATTAAATTATGTTATTTAAACCTATATACTCTTTACTTTCACCAAAAATTTTAATTTATTGCGGGTAGTTTTAGAAGTGTCAAAATACGTACGTGGTGGTTAAACATGGGAACCTAAATACTAACACATGCCCACTGACCACGAAGAGCAAAGCTTGCCTGCCATAATTAGTAGTAGCTACTAATTAGTGTTAGGAAATGTTAATTAAGACGTTGAAATTGTACATGTGGAAAAACACACGAATGTTATTGTAACTCTTAGCCATTTAATAAGCATTCCCAAAACAATGCTATTCCTATTCTTTCCATCAATACATGTTCTTAATGACGTTTAATGTCATTTCAATTACAATGATAAAGAACATCTAGGAAATTTGAAACACTGACTTCTTATCTGTCTGAAAATAATTATCATGGGCACACCAATACTGATCAACTGAGCTCTCCATGAAAACAAGTTAAAGATTTCTAGTTGTTGTGGAATATTCAAGGAGTCAGAATACAATACAATTCACTACTACTTGTATTATCTCCATGAAGATTGAAAATAGTATGTTATGTATTATATTCCATTATATTTCAAACAATTTATCAGAAATATAAGCTTGTGATAAATTTCTGCCTAAATAAATAAATAATAAATAAAACATCACATAAAATAAAATTATCCGACTGAAATTATTTTTTTAATTCATTTGTAAAGTGACACCACTGATTTGGCAAATGGCAATTTTTTCAAACAGTCATCAAATTCATGTATTATTTCAAGTTATAATTTGATTTATTGTTTATCAACGTAGCAAACAGGAATGAATGCAAAAAACATTTAACAATACCTGTTGGGTGACTGGCTAATATCAGTAAGGTGTACAATTGTATATCAGGCTAACAGGTGACACCTGTCAGGTGTAGTATCTTTAAATAATTTGAATATCTTTAGTTTCATTTCAGTTATTCTTCATTAAATATGGCATCAACCAATGTAAATAATTATTACATAGAAAGTTTTTTCAATTCAAAAATTGCCTTTACAATTTGTGCTCAATCAATCGTTCTAATGATAAAAATTTTGTACCATGTCTTTACATGTGAATCAAAATTTAGTGATATAACATAAACTTTCACTATACCTTTACTTTGAAAGTTTAATGCAATTAGAGTTCCAAATTAATACCTAACTTGCTCTCTAAAGTGTGTTTGCATCTTATTTGATTTGACATTAAGTTTAAGTGTCTGTTTTTTCTGGTAACTGCTCTTCATTTTCAAATTTTGAATTTTCAGTCGATTTGCTTTTGATATGTTTCCTTGCCAACCAAGTCTGTCATAATCTGACATGAGCCCTCGTACTACAATTTGATTTTGTTTAACCTGTTCTGGTTTGAGATTTTGCTTGTAGTAATTCTTTAATGACCTATGCCCTATTTTTGCCCCAGAAGATAAGCACAATTCACCAGTTTTCTCTGATATAAACAATGCAATTTCTTCAGCAAAAACTTCAGATGAGTCACCATCAAGAAGAATATTGCCATCTGGGTAACTGCTGGTAAAATCATAGAAGTCTGAAAATTCCAAAACAGCATCACCTTCATAATGTAACTTGCAGTGTCCCTTATCTCTCATGTGGGTCTGAACTGCTTCAATGGAGTAAAATGTCTTCCCTTTCCCATTACAGTACAAGCAAAGTTTGCCAAGTCCAACCTTCTCTCCCAGGTAACCTATCAAAGCTTCCATGTCAGTCACATATTCAATATCAGGGATAAAAAAGCTGTGTGATTTTGTCATGTGTCTCATATTGTCTTCAAATGTTTTGCTGAAATGCGGACAGAACAAACACTGAGTTGTTTCAAGGCTTTCGTCATCACAATCTTCGTCAGATGACACTGAGCACACAGATTTTTTGACATTTCTTTCATTCTCCACATGTTCTACAGACTTTATAGGTGCGTGAATACTTTTCTTCGCCAATTGTTCTTCGTGTTTCTTTGAATGTAAATGATTGGCGAAAGCGTTCTCTGAGGAAAAATCTTTACTACAAACCTCGCAGTGTTGGGATGGCTTTTGAGCTGCTGACGCTTTCATCTCCGCTTTTTGTGCCAGTACTTTTTCACGAAACGTTTCAGCCGTTACTGGAGGCATCTCAGCTACTTTTCGTTTTAGATTATAACGGTGCCAGTCGCTTTTATAATGTGCCCTCTGAGTATCACCATCAGCAAACGTCACACGACACGAAATGCACGTATGAGAAAGCATACTTTTTATACTATGCTTTATACATAAGTCATTTATTCGATAAATTCAAACACATTTTTCTCTACTGATCGTAGTGCTCATTCAATGGCAGGAATCCCTGATTCGATTCGACAACAACGGAACCACAGAATAGATATATACAGAAGCGCCACTCGATGTCGGAACCTTTGATGTTGGTGTCCGCAGCATCCGGGCAACTTTACACGGCGGCCATGTTTCCAGCCAGATAAATGCAGCCAGATCGCAATATAATATATAGTTCTACGGATGGGTTTTGGCAAATAAACCCAAATATTTCTATAGATTGGCCATTTTTAAATATTTTTGTGTGGATACAGTTAACACATCAAGCTCTCAACAATTTATCATTAATTCGACGTCCGTTTTGATAAATGAGGGTTTATTTACAAAGTAGATATGTATCTGACGAGATGCGTACTCGGTATATGGTTTGTCGTCAGTTTTAATTTTATCATATAAGAATTCTACAGAGAATCTTGAAGACATTTGTTCTAACATTTGAAATCTCGGTCGTGGCTGAAACAAGTGACAAATCAAATTATCCTCCAGTTAAGTTTATATATTGCAAACAACGTTTGGCAGGACATTCGAATCACCAAAATTGTCTACCCAGGTGTTTTAAACTATCAGAAGCGATGCTGCATGGCCACTATGAAAGTCATCTGATGCCAAAATATTTTGTATTCATCACAGTTGTGACTTGTGAAGCTTGAATGACTTTTTGAGCAAGTTGGAACATAAGCAGTAGCATGTTGGCCTCCACCAATAAAGTGCTTGAATAGCAATTTGTAAAACATATACTGCCATATGGTCCACATGATTTAACTTTGTTATTTCTGCCTTTTTAAATTCAATCAGGAGATTATTTATATATTTGACATGGATGCTTATTGATGATGTGAGAAGTGAACATAAAAAAGCTTCCTGAATGCTTTTGTGAATTGGATTGGTGTTGGCTTGGCAGTTTCCCCCTGTCAAATGTTTTAAAAAAGTTTTCTGGTGTATCTGTGTTTCACCTTTTGGTAAACATTTTACTGTGTAAAGTATTACGATTTAAATAATGGCATTAAGAGTAACTATAACTGGTTTTTGTCAGAATAAGTTCTGTTCGTGACATGATTACTTACAATAAAAATTTTAATTTACTGAATGAAGTTTATGACCCTTTGTTGCAATAATTTCTCTCTGCTGGTTGATCAATGCAGTGAATCAAACATAATTCTAATCATTTTCACATACAATTGTTGGTCACAACTCACAAGTGAAGTTTAACCAAAGAGGTTTCTCACCTCATATGCTTGGTATCCTATCCGATGGCATTAAAATTTTGTCCATAAGTGAATTTAAATTCGTCAAATTTTCGAAAAACAACTCTTCATAATATTAATCTATATACATTCTGGCCAGTTTATCTGGCTGGAGTGGCGGACGCAAAAGATGCGCACTTAAGAACTGGGTACAAGTAGGGACAGATTTTTCGCTGAGTGGCGCTTCTGTATATATCTATTCTGTGACGGAACTACTAACCTGATGAATGAACGTGCTGGTTTATAATTTATATCTAGTGAAATGCTGACGTAATGCTGTGACTAACCAGAAAATAATTTGTGACGTTGCAAAGCTTTGGACCGCAAAAGTTGCTCTTCTCTTCCGTCTTCTACTGTCAGTTCTAGTGTGTCTTCTACAGATACAGCTATAGATCATCATACACGAGACCGCCGAGAGCAATTGCAAAAATTCTGAAATAAAAGTTGAGAAATAAAAATTGAATACGGAAAGCTGAACAGGGGCTAAGGAAGCACGTTTGAGTTGGGAAATGAGGATTGCAAAACTTCTAGAGCACTTGCTTGGTGAATTCACGTTGACACGTATTTTTTTCTGTTGAAAATACCTTGCCATGCTAATGGCTCATAAAAAGCAGTCTGCGAATGTCCTATTGCAAATCGAATCACTTTTTTGTTCGTTCATCTCAAGCAAGAATACTATCGTAGCTGCTTTTTCGTGGTGGTGATTAAAGAAGTAAATTAATGCCTTTCATGCAGGTCCATCAGTAAGGATGTATGACGAATTTCCATGATACTAAAGACACCGGGCCGTTTCTGTATCTCGACAAATTTTTTTGTCAATTTTTTAACGCGCGAATTGCATCATTGAAAAAATGAAGATGTCTACAATGATTTTTTCAAGATGATGTTGCGCGTCGTTGCAAAACAGAGTGTCTCATCTCTTTTTCTTAAATTCTTTTACCTCGATCAGACTATATGATGTAGTATCTAAAGCACCTTCTTTCCATCACAGAACCATCCGACTAGAATCACAACTTCAAACTTGTTATTTGATTACTCGACATTCTTTAAACAAAACAAGTGAAATTTTTACTCACTCAGGGAAACTTGTTCACATCCCACTGTTTCACATTTCACATTAAATAAAAGTGTTTGTGTTCACAATAATTGTTCTTTTTTGTTCGCGATGCGAAGTATGATTGGCTTCGTTAAAGCAATGCACCCAAACTTACAAATCCATTGTCTTAGCTATTATTTCATGGTTGAAGGTAAGAATGAATTTGATTAATTTGATTCTCTGTGAATTTTTCTACCTTAAGACAGAAGCAGTCATTATCTGGTTGCTTTTCCTTCATAGGACAAGATTTTTGTCTTTTGCTTTTGTTCTCACTTCCTCTTATCCACTGCGTTACCTTTTGGCACGTTTGTTTCTTTCTCGCTATTGAGTACTGAAATCTTCATTTACAATTTAAAATTACCAACATCCTTTTACCAACTCCTTGTTCCCTAACTGAATTATGTTATATTATGTGTTTATTTCTCGTTTTTGTCAGTGAAATACTGCAAGTGAAAACTGCTGGAAAATTGACAAAAAGTGGGTCATTTCCAAACTGTTATTTACGTAGCTACTGCTTTTTTGGAATCAGTCACTAGTCGGGCAACAACTCTTTCAGTAAGTGAGCCACTATTAGAAAATGTTATAAAGATGGAAGGAACTAGTCAGAATACTGAAGAATTTATATGAAACTAATTGGCAAATGGCATGACAAATACAAGTGATTCCAACAGAATTGAACGTTAAACTGTGCCGCAGGAGGAAAATATATTGTTCACCAATCTGCGCGGGGATAAATCATAGGAGATCAGATAAAACTGACTAAAAATTTCTGTTTCAAAACTAATGAAAAGTGTATTGAAAATTTATGCACAAAACATAACTAAAATATATAAATTCACTTTAATAACAAAAGTAATAATAATTTGCTTAAAACAACTAAAACAAAAAGTAATATAAATTCACTAATTTTTGAGAGTCACTGTTAGTAATTGAGTATATTACTGAGTCGTGAGATTAAAGTATGTTAAGTACAAAACAAAACAAAACGAGCTATATTACATGTTTAAGATTACTGATTTGCTTCATATAGGTGAGGTTTTTTCAACTTCCAATGACGAAATAACCTTACTGCATTCTATTGGAATCTCGAGTCTTTACCTTTGGAATCTTGGAGTTTTCACCTTCTGGAGTGCTGCATTTTGAGAAGAAACTGGCAATACCTATTCACGGAAGGAAGATTTTATTATTTTACCAAACAACAATACAGCAGTAGCAACAAAACAATTTCAGAAATTACTTGCAAGCAATTAAGCAAATAAAATCCACAAATTGTATCTGAATAAATCCCACTTGGCCAGTACTTTACACATGATATATACATCAAATTAGATCATATTGGTTCAAATCTGTTATGATGAAGCCTTTGTGGACTGGTCACTTATTTTGCTATGTATACAAAACAATCACATATTTTATTTGAAAATTCAAAACCAATTGACTGATGTACTTTTGACTGAGATTACACGGTGTACTCTGTTAGATTGAAAATTAGATATTGACACTATTGATTAGAAAATTTCTGATTGAACTATGATGTCAGAATAAATACATAACCATGACATTGCATGGATGTTATTATTTCACCTTTTTGCCATGATGGTGTTGGTGTCCACCTTACAGGATTTCCAGCACCATATCTATCTTTTGATGCAGGGGTGCTGGATGGATTAGCAAGTTGTTTCCTTGGTGCCTTTGCTCCAATAACTGTTGTACAATTTAAAAAATGTATGTCACACACTTTTGATTCAGACATAATGGCAATTAAGACAAACTAGACAGTAGACAAGATAAATTTTATAGATAAAAATTTGCAGTTTCGGGCAAGAAAGAGAAAAGAATTTTAATTTGAAACGAATGACAAAAAACATGAGTGGATGGATATGAAAGCTACTATGGTAACTAATAAGTAAGTAGAACTAGTAAATAAATGGCCAAGTTTAATAGAAAGCTCTTGGTGAATTGTACTTGGTATTTCAATATGAACTATTCGAATGGAGATTAGGATAGTGTTTAGACTTGGGTGACACATAAAGATGTGGTGTAATTAATTGTGATTTAGGAAATCATCAAAAGAGCGAAATGTGCACAGTTTTGCTCATTTATGGAGTGGAATTTGGCTACCCGTATTATGAATTTTACGTTGATAGAATGTTTACTTCGGCGATTTTTAAGTCAAGCGTACTACGTACATGAAGAGCTTAAAGTTAGGAGCACGACAAGTGTGAATGCAAGAGACAAGCGACATGGTTCACATAATATATGAATAAGATCAATCCACACATCTAAGACAAAAATTTCATTTTACCTTTTCTGCCACTACTATCTGCCTTTGTGCGCACCATAATAGTCTTAGCAGGAATCAAGGTAATTTCACTGATCTGTGAATTTTGAAAGAAATGTATTTGACAAGCTTGCGACTTGTCAAATTTATTTTAAAAATGGTGCCACGTGACGTTAAAACAGTGGTAATAGCGGGAATGCTGCACTGATATGTATATTAGACTGGATAACGCATGTCTTGCGAAAATTGAAGTTGGAAAATCGATCATTTGCTACTGGCTTCATGGGGGGTATCGGCCCACTTTACTTTTGTATTACAAAATCACAGTTTTCGCGTTTTTATTCCCTTTACAAACTTCTGATTAAGGCAAAATTTTTATGACATGTAGAGGAAAACCGGTAGAGAGTTTTAACCCTGAAGCTCTGTTTTTTTGGCTTTGTAACGACTAGAAATAAGATGGCAAGTTGTATTGAAATTTAAAAGTTGAAGGTGACGAGGACAATTTCAGCCGTGCGAAGCATTTTTAGAAGATGAATACTTAAATTAAAAATTTACACCAAAGCATAGAATAGAGAATATAAAGAAGAGCAACTCGCGTCGGTAACCTTTGATGTAAGCGTGGCGCGCATACCGGAAATGTGACGGCCGCCATTACTCTGGCCAGTTAAGTGTACAACATTTACTATGAAAATATATTGAGTGGAAGCAGTAAAGTGGGTTAAAATATAGATTTTTTGAGCTGTTGGCTGTTTTTGGCATCTTTTTGAAAGAAATTGAAATAAAAAGGCAAGTATTTTGTATATATCATGTAACAAATGCATTTATTTAATATATTTATAGCGGAATTCAGTCGGAAAGCTTGAACAGGTTCTGAGGTTCACAAGTCCTGAGGACTTAAATGAACTTGGATGTATTACATGTTAAATATATTATTGTGATATAAAAAGCTTTTGTTTTCAATTTAGTTTTATAAAGGACAAAAAATTATATGCACAAAGCCCTCAAAGGTGTGTGACTTTAATGTACTTTCTGTCTTTCTTTTTAGTTGTTGCGAATATGCGGTTCGCAAATTTTATGGCGTAATAAATGCGCATTCTTACAAAAAAGTTTCTGCAAGAACTCAAATGGGAATTCCGTACAGCAATCAAATTCCTTTGGTATGGACTTGACGGTGTCTAATATACTTCGACCAACACCTTCGCTCTTTGTGTAGACAGAAAACGTCTTAATAAATGTGTCTTCAAGTTTGATGATGTATTCCAGATAAGGAGAAGATGGTGATTGTAGTCCTCCTAAATCAGATTTCTTTTCATCGAATGCTTTAAAGTGGCAGAATAACTTTCTGCTATCATCCAGTTCTGTAGATGAAAGAGCATTGGTGCATTTCAGACAAGAGTGGAGTTTGAAACTCTTCATTAGAAGAAAACCAGACACATATGCAATGTCATTTTCCCTCATTATGTTAGTAACAACATTTGGCTCCTTGTAGTCAGTAGGACCAAATGCTAAAATTTGTGGTTGCGGAGGTGGAGAGGCTTGAACCGTTTCCTTCTGGCTGACTTTATTCTTTGCAACATTTTTGGAATACTCAACCAGCATAGAATCAAGGTCGTTGTCACAATTTCCAGATGAACAGGTTAGAAGGGAACTGAAGAAAAGCTTTCTAAATGCTTGCATAAATGCTTGCTTGGGTTGGAGTGGGGTTATCACTATTGCCTCCCGGGCGACGAATAGTACCAAAAAAATTTTCTAGTGGGTCAGTATTTAGTCGTCTGGTAAAAAGAAACTTAAACTGATGCACTGATCGTAATGTTTCCCATATCGAGATGATGGCTTTAAGTGTCACTAACCAGCCATGCAGACATTTAACTCTACCAGTGACATCTTTATTCCCTTGGAACACTTTCAATTTTTTGATGAAATTGATGCTTTCCTTCAGAAATTCAATGTGGAATGATCTTTCATTGATGGCACATCTAAGTTCTTTACTCGTTTGCAACATGGAACTGTTTACACAGTCAAAAATAGAATCAAATTTGCAAACAAATTCTGAAGTTCCCATTGCAGAGGAAGGAAGACCACCCATGCTCACATATGTACAAATTCCTGCGGCCACAGTGTAACTTAAAACTTGAGTGGCATATTTGACTTTCATTTTGTCAAAATTATTTGGGTGGATGTGTTTGTACATTAATTTATGTGCAAGCCTTGTGTGAAGTGAACTGTCTTTGTTATAAAATTGTTCAATATCATTCCACGAAGCAGCAAGGCCATCGGACTTAAAGGCGTATTTCATCAGGTTGTTTCAACACACTTCATTAGATGAGGGGGATCAAACATGAGATGGTAAGTTCTTTCGTTATAAGTAAACCACGGTTTGTCAGGGGTTACTTCCAAACGGTTGGCAAAACTATGAAAATTGGAACCCATGTCGGATATTACCACCACTACATTTAGACCAATTTGCTCCAATTTGTCTAGGGCCTCTTTAAGAACATCTTCCAAAATTTCAGTTGGGCATCCTCCATTGGCAAGCACATAACCAAGACATTTGATGCGCGATATATACTTTGGCTAGCAATATTGTGATACATCACACAACATCACACTATCACACTCGAATGACGTAATGTCCGCAGTGTTGCATTCGTCTTTCTCCCGAAAATACTCGATGAAAACTCTCCTCACTGACAATTTTACCCATTCCGTTTATTTTACGTCTTAATACTCTTTAATTCGAGCGAAAACAGTTTGCAAAACGCTTGCAAATATCGAGCAAGAGTCTGTCATTATACCTTTTTATTTACAATTTTGCATGAACAATTATATGATATGTCACCTATAGCAGTGTAGGTAGGTTCTTAGCCAATTGCAATCGAGATTGCATAATATGCATAATAATAGTATTTCCCATGACTTCTGACTGGAAAAAGCCAAAGGTCATTTCTCACTGGATCACTGGGGAAAGCCGAAATCATTTCTGACTAGGAAAAGCTGAAAATATGTCGAAGCGCAGGCGTAACAATTGTCAATCGGTTGACGATTTGCGAAAAGATGTCAACGAGGAACTACATCAAGAATATGTGGGGTCGAGGATATTAAGTGATATCCAATCTATTAATTTGAAAGTCTGCAATGATCTAAATGTTGATGTAATTCTATTTGTTCTTGTTTTGAAATATGGGTTGTCACTTGTGTGCTCTATTGCCAATGTTGTGTCTTCTTTGCTTGTACTCCCCGTAAATGTACGCCAAGAAGTGTTGGCTTTGGTATGTCACAATGCATCACAATGCATCACAATGCATCACAATGCATCACAATGCATCACACTACATCACACTACATCAAAATGCATCACACTACATCACAATGCATCAAAATGTATCACAATGCATCACAATGCATCACAATGCATCACAATGCATCACAATGTATCACAATCCATCACACTGCATCACCAAGTATCACAATCCATCAAACTACATCCCACTACATCACAATGTATCACAATGCATCACAATGCATCACAATGTATCACAATGCATCACAATGCATCACCAAGTATCACAATCCATCACACTACATCACACTATATCACAATGTATCACAATGCATCACAATGCATCACAATGTATCACAATGCATCACAATGCATCACAATGCATCACAAAGTATAACAATGCATCACAATGCATCACACTACATCACAATGTATCACAATGCATTACAATGCAACACAATGCATCACAATGCATCACAATGCATAACAATGCATCACACTACATCACAATGCATCACACTACATCACAATGTATCACAATCTATCACACTACATCACAATGTATCACAATGCATCACAATGCATCACACTACATCACAATGTATCACAATCCATCACACTGCATCACCAAGTATCACAATGCATCACAATGCATTACACTACAATACAATGTATCACAATCCATCACACTACATCACAATGCATCACACTACATCACACTACATCACAATGTATCACAATCCATCACAATGCATCACAACGTATTACAATGTATCACACTACATCACAATACATCACAATGTATCACAATGTATCACAATGCATCACAATGCATCACACTACATCACAATGTATCAAAATACATCACAATTTATCACAATGCATAACAATGCATCATCTTTATTATTGCAATGTATCACAACATTACAATGTATCGCATTACATCACAATGAACTGTAATAGCGCATCACATGAGAATACAATATTGTAGCTACATATAAAAATTCACTATTTAACTACCTCAAAACTTAAGTAAGCAACAGGTCTACAAATTACTATTATTCTTTTCATGCTAAAATGGGTTGAATATAAATGTGACAAATGTATTTTTACATGAAAAAACGTCAGCAATTTTGTAATAAACGGGCGTCACTTGCCAAAATATTAAACATATTGTAATGGGCTTACCAATTGTGAATACAGCAGCGATACCATTATGATGCAACATGGACATCATAGATTCCACCATTTCACCTAATGTTAAGGAACATAAAGGCAGGTTTACTTTATGCCAAGGAGTTGCTGTTCTTTCCGATTCCAAGATTGCTTTGACCCATATAATGCTGGTCTCTTCTGTAGTAACGACGACACCATCACCGTTCAATTGCAGGTTTTCGCCCAAAACCCAAACGTCTGAATTTGGTTGTCTACCAATGCAGCAAACAGCTTTGTACGTGTCTCTTACTTCATTGATTCGGCATTTCCTGGAAGCGTTATTTTGTTAAAAGTTCAGGGTTTAAATTATTCATTGATGTTAATTTTATTCATGAAGTAGCTAGAAGTTACTTCACCGCAACAAATGGTTAGGCTTATTTCATCTCAACATGAAAGAGTTATCACGCTTGTGTATCAAGGCGGGGATAGTTTATCTGATCGAATAATCTGAATTAGTTTATAAGTAAATTTTGCGAAATGAGGGCGACAATTCAACGTCTCCAATACAGTGAAAAATTTGAAAAACGAAATACATCTTGAATTATGAAAATAATAATTTCGATAACTTGGTTTACCTAAAATAGTTCTTTATCTGCCACTTGATGAAGCATTTGAATTCATGAGGATCGAAGTCACTTGTCAACACACCTGAACTATACGATTTATTGAAATCGTGCATAAATTTTGATTGACCTCCAGGGATTGCACCTTTGCTTCGGAGGAAACACAACCTAAACCAAAACACATTTTGCTCTGCATGAAAATGATGAACAACAATGACAATATGAAAAACAAGAGAACAAAAAATTCTTGACTTACCTGGACTCTTCACCCAATGAGCAATATACGGGACATTGAAAGCCACTGTCATCGCCTGCGTCAATGTGTATCAGCAAGGACATCGAAAAACTAGTTTTTTCAACATACACCGATTTTCCATTTTTTTCTTCTCACACGAATTCCCATAGTTTTTTCTTGAATTTAAAATTCATAGTCTGAAGCCATATTCCTGCCTAGTTTATAGCTTACGAGAGTTTGTAATGAAGATGGACTGAATGAAAGATATGTTGAATTCCCTCTCTATATATATGCTAAGTATTTTTTTGTGTTACGCCCCTCGTAAAAAAGATGAGGCCTCTAATTGGCTGAAAACAATCCAGACAATGAGCGGAAGACTGCATGACGTACATTATATTGAACGTCGTACACTGATCAAGTCTCGATTTGACGTAAAAATTCATTAGGTTGTTTTCAAGCGTGATGCAATATTTCTTAGTTAGGTGAATTATATACTGAACATCTTTCTCGTACACATTGCTTTTAATTGAACGGAAAAATCAAAAGTGTAGGCAGACAGCAGACTGAATCAAATTTCTTTTATGTTGGTCATTTGAACTTATTTTTAAATAAACATGCCTAGCTTTAACATCATGAATTTTGGTTTTAATCAAACTTTTAATATATTGACATTAATGTTGATTGTCGAACTAGTCACATTGATAAGTATGGCATGCAATAGCATTGTTTTAAAACAGCCAAAACCTTCAAGTGTAGTTAATTGTTGAACAAATAGATGAGTGTAAGAAGGAGTTGTTTACAAATCTAGTGCACAAATAAAACACTGGTCTTTTTTTATACTATACAAGGATGTGTGAATTTTCATAAATTTAAAATTTCAAATGCATGGCAATATTTCTTTCATGTTTTCCATGCATTGTTTTTAGATGGATCATGAATGTCTTTGCTGTTTCTCTAAAAGATAAGTGCTCTTTGAAGAAATTTCTTCAAAGAAAAATGATTTAGCTTTTAACATTCCTTTTGGAAGCAATGAGTTATCACTTCCTTTGAAAATGAAACGTCCATTAAGTGAAGTGCATCCATTTGAATTTCCTTTATATTGGGCATAATACAAAAGTGTCACATTTTCACGAAAAACATGCACCAGTTATTAAAAAAAATAAATATTGTGATGCAATGTGACAACCAATCTCTTTGTAGCTACTTCAAGATTTTATATAATTTTCATTCATCTTAACGTTTAAACTTTTATACTTATGTGTTTTTTCTCCTTAAAATGATGTTTTTCCAGCCACAGTAATAAAGTTCAACAGTTTTTAAAGATGCATCATAATGCATCTTCCGTTATCTTGTCCATGCATTTATTGACAATTGTTCAATAATGAAAAGGCTCATAAAATATTCATCTATTTATGCACCAGCTATAGCTGGTGCATGTTTTCGTCAACATGTGACACTTTTGCACTATGACCAATATAAAGGAAATTCGAATGGTACTTCACTTGATGGACGTTTAACACTCTCAGTGTAAAAGCATAAAAATACTTTCAGTGTTTTATTTGTGCACTTCAGATTTTGAAACAATTCCTACTTACACTCATCTATTTGTTCAACATTTACCCTCAGAGATTTTGTCTAATTTAAAAGAATGCTTTTTTATGCATGATATACTTATCAATTTGACTAGTTCAGCAATCAACATTAATGCTTCATATTCTTGCATTGATTTGCAAACATCTTTTTTGTAAATTATCATAGTGCTAGCTTGTGTTTTAGCTAATATTAAAAATTTGATCAAAAGAAAATATTCATGATGCTAGAGGTTGTGTATGTTTTTGAAAGATATGTTCAAATTATGTGCAATATGACCCATATAAAAAAAGAAAATTAATTCAGTCGGTCTATAATTTTGATCTTTCTTGTCAATCAAAAGAAAAAAGTATTCAGTATGTAATTCACTCTAAATAAGAAAGATTGCATCACAGTTTAAAATAAGCTATAAAATTTTGTAAATTGCAGAAGTATATCAATTTAAGTTAAGGCACCATTGACATGTAGAAGGTATTCTTCAATTTTTTAGTGTCCAGGAAACAATTATTACGACATGGTCTCTTGATTCTGTTTGAAATTTAAACCTGTACCAGACACCGATCCTTGGTATAATAATTAGACATTAATTACATATAGTAATAGTTAAGGTTCTGTCGAAGTTGCGGAGTAACTAACAGCAAGTGATCACTAACTGGCATATATGTACATATTTTAATTGAACATTTAATAAAACTTGATTTTTTAACACTAATGTTGTATGTTTTTATTTAATATAACTTGTTGAAAAAACTAGGAATTGTGATGAAGTTGTTCAAAGGAATGCTTGATTATATTTAGAGATGAGACAATTCGATTAATCGACGATACCTAGCGGAAGGGAATGGGTGATTTTAGAATGAACATTAATAGTCAAAACAGGTTAATCGAAACGCAATAAAATGATAAAATAAAACATAATTTAACATAAAAATAAAATAAAAATAAAGTGATAATATAAAATTTTAAAGAAATGAAGGTTGAATGAACCACGCAATTCAATACTAGTAGAAATGACTATTATTCGTTTGTTGTAGATAATCGACCATGCATATATAATTACTCATCTCCAATTACAGATGCGTAAATTCAAAAGTAAATGAATTAGCTTTCCGCCTTACGAACGACTGGTAAAAGAGGTTTTTTACCAGTCTTATAGCATCTAACAGTATATTTGTTTCTGTGCTTTACCATTCTATGTAAAGAAACAAATAATGCACTTTGGGCATAGCACACAGTATCTTCTTAAACCTGGAAAGCCAGACGAAAGTCTGTTCAGCAGCCATTGTATTTCCATTT